AGTAGCTGGGACTACAGGTGCCCGCCACCACGCCCAGCTAGTTTTTTGTATTTTTGGTAGAGACGGGGTTTCACCATGTTAGCCAGGGATGGTCTCGATCTCCTGACCTCATGATCCACCCGCCTCAGCCTCCCAAAGTGCTGGGATTACAGGCTTGAGCCACCGTGCCCAGCCAGCAGTAAGTAAAATTCTTATAGAAAAGATTATTCCAACTCAGGGAGTTCCTCTAGAACTCAATAGAGACTGAGGTACTCACTTTATTGGACAGAATTCAGTCAGTATGTAGAATATGGTCCATCCTCCAGCACTTTAATTGTGTTTATCATTCCCAATTATCTGGATTGGTGGGGCATACATATGGAATAATTAAGACTCAGCTGGGCTGGGCGCAGTGGCTCATATCTGTAATCCCAGCACTTTGGGAGGGCGAGGGCAGGAAGATGGCTTGAGCCCAGGAGCTCCAGACCTTGCGCCTGGGAGCTCCAGACCAGCCTGGGCAACATAGTGAGATCCTGTCCTTACAAAAAGAAAACACTAAATTGACAAAAAATAACACAAGTCTTTTTTTTTTTTTTTTTTTTTTGAGACGGAGTCTCTCTCTGTCACCAGGCTAGAATACAGTGGTGCGATCTTGGCTCACTGCAACCTCCGCCTCTCGGGTTCAAGCGATTCTCCTGCCTCAGCCTCCCGAGTAGCTGGGACTATAGGTGCCCAGTATTACACCCGGCTAATTTTTGTATTTTTAGTAGAGAAGGGGTTTCACCACATTGGCCAGGCTGGTCTCAAACTCCTGACCTTGTGATCCACCCACCTCGGCCTCCCAGAGTGCTGGGATTACAGGCTTGGGCCACTGTGCCCGGCCAATAACAAATTTTTAAGATCCCAAGGCCAGTTGGCTTTGTTTAACCCAAGATCAACCCCTTTAGAAAACATCAGTTGTACCCATTTGAAATAATAACTCACATACCTATGAATCTGTCCCAGGAAATGGTAACTCCTTAACTGTAAGGGGAGACATACCCCTTTGTCATTCTAACTTTATGAGACAATTAACTAAAATTATTACCTAGTGAAAGATTATTTCCTAGTGGGCTCCAGGGATATGAAAAATTCAAGACCCACAATTTTCATCCAGGAGATTGTATCTACTGGAAACAACATCCTTTAAAGGACTCTCTCCAACCAAGTGGAAGGGCTCTTACCAAGTGCTTCTTAGTAACCCTTTTGCTATTATATTAGAAGGAATAGACTCTTGGCTGGGTGTGGTGGCTCACGACTGTAATTCCAGCACTTTGGGAGGCCAAGGCGGATGGATTGCCTGAGCTCAGGAGTTCACCATCCTGGGCAGCATGGCATGACCCCATCTCTACTAAAAATACAAAAATTAGCCGGGTGTGGTGGTGGGCACCTGCCTGTAATCCCAGCTACTGGGGATGCTGAAGCAGGAGAATTACTTGAACTCAGGAGGCACAGGCTGCAGTGAGCTGAGATTGCATCACTGTACTCCAGCCTGGATGACAGAATGAGACTCCATCTCAAAAAAACAAAAAACAAAAACTGGAATAGACTCCTGGATCCACATTTCTCATCTGAAGAAGGCTCCATCTCCTGAGGGACTGTTTCCCCAGAAGGTGATCTCTGTTTCAAAATAAGTCAATGACAGGTCTAGAACAAGATAACATCTGATGTAGGTGACTAAAACCCAAGTCTCCAAACCAGGGCTGTATCTAAACAAATGCTTAATATTAGCAAATGTTAATACATAGGGAAGACTTTCCTTTACAAGCTCCCATTAAACTTCTTTCTTTTTGTCCTTAGTTTTCATGTATTGGCACTACTATCATTAACTATTGCCCATAAAGCAAATCTCTTTTTGCAATGGGCTTAGGACTATGCTAATAGATTATTTTTTAAAATGCTGGTTGAATATGTGGTCTCGTGCCGCTTTCCAGTAGTTTTGGCTTTCCTGGTGGGTATCTTCTCTCCAAGGAGAGAAATATATTGCTCCAAGAAGAGAAGATATTGCATAGAATATCAGAAATATATTTGTGTTAAACAGTCATGGTGCTTGACACTAGAATGATGAAGGATAAAGTACGTCACTATCTTATTAATAATACTTTACAGGCCAGGCACAGTATCTCACGCCTATAATCCCTGCACTTTGGGAAGCCAAGGCAGGCGGATTGACTGAGCTCAGGAGTTTGAGATCAGCTTGGCCAGCAAGGTGAGACCCTGTCTCGACTAAAAATACAAAAATTAATCAGTTGTGGTGGTGTGCACCTGTAGTCCCAGCTACTCAGGAGGCTAAGGCAGGAGAATCACTTGAACCTAGGAGGTGGAGGTTTCAGTGAGCCAAGATCACACCACTGCACTCCAGCCTGGATGACAGAGCAAGACTCCATCTCAAAAAAACAAAACAAAACAAAAAAAAACCTTTACAGAGTAAAAGGCATGGAAGGAGCTTCACTAGTTGTTAACTTTAATGCTGGCACTGCTCCAACTAAGTAATGAAACAATGACACTGCCCCAATTAAGAGATAAGACACCTTGATTTCAGAATGGTATAACACAAATTTGGGATGGTTTTATCTGGCTTACCCCTCCTTCTGTCAGCTCAGTCACCTTGCCCTTGCCTCCTCAACCCCCGACTTTTTTTTTTTTTTTTTTTTTTTTTTTTGAGACAGAGTCTCACTCTGTTGCCCAGGCTGGAGTGCAGTGGTGAGATCTTGGTTCACTGTAATCTCTGCCTCCTGAGTTCAAGTGATTCTCCTGCCTCAGCCTTCTGAGTACCTGAGATTACAGGCATGCACCACCACGACCAGCTAGTTTTTGTATTTTTAGTAGAGACAGGGTTTCACCATGTTGGCAACACTGGTCTCGAATTCCTGACCTCAGGTGATCCACCTACCTCATTCTCCCAAAGTGGAGGATTATAGGCATGAACCACCGTGCCCAGCCACTTTGCCCCTTTATGTTGGGAACAGAGAAATCATACCAAAGATATCTGGCCCAAAAGCACTGGAGATATGGGATGGATACCCAAAGAACTATGTATTCACACCATTATATTACAAAGTACTGACTGGCATGCCATTGAATGTATTTATTGATTAGCTCCAAATGGAACATTTTGGCTATGTGGCACTAACCTATGGCCATGGTTACTTCCAGGATAGTTAGGATGATGTTCTTCAGGTTATGCTTAACCATATGGTCGAGTAGTTCGTACTTTGCCAAAACCTGCACATTTTCCTTATTTATGATCTCATTGGGTTCATTCTGTGTTCCATTGGTATGATCATTTAGCTTCCATCTTCATACCACAACTGAGTGTTGAAGATGTTATTTGGCATACAGAGGTCCTAACCAATTATACCCAAACTATAGCTACATGGGTATTCCATTATTAAACAATAAAGTTACTCTTACGGAAAAGGCTATATTACAAAACCATATGACTTTTGACATACTCACTGAAGCCCAGGGACGAACCTGCACTATCATAAAAACTGTGTGTTATGTCTGTATCCCAGATGAATCAGATAATGTGACTATGTTAATGGATAATATGAAAACCTCAACAACTAAACTTTCAGATTCAATACATCTTTAAACAACTGGCTAAGCAGCTAGTTTTGATCTTGAAGACTTGGTGGCAAAAGCTGTTACTTATTCTGGGAATCATGTTCATTTGTTGTTGTCTTGTTTTTGTCTGCACGGCTGTTAGACTGCCACTGTGCCTGGCTATTAATCAGATTTTAAAATAAAGTTAAAAAAATTTTTTTACAAATTTACACGAAAAGCAAGTACTGTTCTCAAACATGATTGTGCGACAGACAGTGCAGCTTGCCAGAAATAGGTTTCTCTCATGAAAATTCAAACCCCTCCGCACACGGCCATCTGCTTTCTTCTTCAGCAGGGACTAACACCAGGGCAACTGTATTTCCCTAAATACCTTAGGAAAGTAGTTCAAAACCTAGATATATCTTGGTCAGAACAAAACCTGGTCAACACTCACGATAAACAGTATATATAATTCCTTAAATGAAATATAGAGGTTTGTAATATAAGATAATCCATCTTTTTCTGTGGATTTCCTACTAATGAAATACATTCTTGGAGACCCAAAGACTGAAGTTATACCACTTCTTCTTAATCTTTTAAATATTATTTGTAGGCCAGGCATGGTGACACACTCCTATAGTCCCAGCTACTCAGGAGGCTAAGGCAGGAGCACCCTTTGAGCCCAGGAGCTCCAGCCTGTAGTGTGCTGCTAGCACTTGTGAATAACCACTGCACTCAGCCTGGGCAACACAGCGGGACCCCATCACTAATAAAAAAGTGAGATCAACATTATTTATTGTTACTCGGGCATAAAATAAATATTCAGTACTTATTACATGCCAGAGCCTATTATGTCTGCTGCAAATATGGGCTGTCATAGAGTTATAACATGAAACCAAATAATTAGTATAATTTTAAGTGGTGATAAGCACAATTGTTTCCCCCAAGCCATGCCGTTAATTTCTAACTCTTCAGATAGTCTTTAAAAAGTTTCTTACTAATTAAAAAAAACTTTCGTTTTGAGAAGGGATCCCACTCTGTTGCCTAGGCAGTGGTGAGATCTCGGCTCACTGCAGCTTCCATCTCCTGGGCTCAAGCGATCCTCCCGCCTCAGCCACCCGCGTAGCTGGGACCACAGGCGCGCGCCATCAGATCTCAGTTCTCTCAACAGGACTCTCATTGCTAAGATACAAGCATCCATTAATTTCTTTTTCCTTGACTCTTTTCGCCTCTGTAGGCTTTCTTTCCTCATCCGCTTTTTAAACAAAGGCAGGCTTAAAAACAGAGAGCCAGTCTCGGCTCCTGAACCGGTCTTTGCCTCCCGCTGCCGGCCACGCCTCTTATGGGCCGGGAAGTTTACCCCACCCTGCATGGTGATTCACCGGAAGCGCTCTCGGGAGTCCAGGAGCTTCCGCGCCTGCCCAGTTTTGCTCGGAAAGACGCCGGGAGGGGAGCTTGCAGTGCGTTCTGGGAAAGTTGCTGGGCCAGCTCTTTTGTCTCCAGCCTGAGCGTTGCTTTCGGTTTCCCGAGGGTCTTCTGAGGCACCGCGGCTCCGGGGTGCTGGGTTCCCGGCTCTTCGCTGGGAGGCCTCCTCTCCGTACCTCGTTTTTTGGCTTGTGTGGGGGTCCTCCCACCGCTGGCCGACGCCGCCAGCATGTCCGGGGTGCGCGCAGTGCGCATCAGCATCGAATCGGCCTGCGAGAAGCAGGTCCATGAGGTGGGCCTCGATGGCACCGAGACGTACCTGCCGCCGCTGTCCATGTCGCAGAATCTGGCGCGTCTAGCCCAGCGGATCGACTTCAGCCAGGGTTCGGGCTCCGAGGAGGAGGAGGCGGCGGGGACCGAGGGCGACGCGCAGGACTGGCCGGGCGCCGGGTCCAGCGCAGATCAGGACGACGAGGAAGGTAAAGCCTGCATCCGCTGCCCGAGTCCTCCGGTCTGGGTCCCAGCACCCGCCCGGGTGGCTGCCCTCCTCCTCTTCCTCGGTGGGGGAGATCCTGTGCGTGCGAGAACTTTTGAGTGTCCCACGAGTGGAAGCGTAAGGATACTGGTCGTCATCTTTTTGTTGCTGCCGGACAAGTTAGGACACGACTTTACGCAGTACTCCTGCGGGTCTCCTTGAGTGGGAGCGTTTGAGACACTGTCAAACGGTGAAATGTTTAAATGAATGCTTCTCTGTAGAAGGCCTTTAATGTGGCCCACTTGGTGGCTAAGAGTCTTAGATCGGGGCTCTGCCCCTTGCCTGCTGCGTGACCTTTGGCGCGTTACTTTGCATCCTTGTGCGGTGTGGATGATGATAGTAGCACCTACAGAAAAGAAGTCAGTGTTGACTGGAATGTGTGACGAGGTCCAAGAGGTAGGCGGGTCCAGATCCTGTAGAGCCCAGTAGGCCATGATAAGCGTTTGACTAATGTTGAGACCACTGCAAACTTTCGCAGGATAAGTAGAGACATGATTTTGTTAAAGGTTACTCTAGATGCTTTCCAGTAAATGAATTATAGGGAAAGCAAAACTGGAAGGAAGGGGGCTGGTTAGGAGGGAAGTGAAGAAACAATGAGTAGGTTTCAGATTCTCATTATTGTCAAGGATTTTTGAAAAAAAAAAAATCACAATTCTTAATTTAATTATGCAGCAGACTCGGTGTAAATGGGAATTTAAAGATGTTTTTTCAGGGCAGTGCTGTTAGGAGTATTAGGAGTCCATTTGCAGAAAAACGTAAATACTACTTTATACCTCACACAAAAATTATTTCCACAATAATTTTTGAGGATTGATTGAGGTGCCAAATGAAGAAAGCAAAACAAAGTGTTAAAAGAAATAATGAAAGAATAGTTGTATTATTCTGGGAGTAGGATAGATCTTCTTAATTTAGGAAATAACGAGACAGGCATGGTAGCTCACACCTGTAGTCCCAACATTTTGGGAGTCCAAGATGGAAGGATCGCTGGAGCCCAGGAGTTCAAGACCAGCCTGAGCAACATAGGGAGCTCCTGTCTCTACAAATTAAAAAACATTTGATTTGCTGGGTGTGGTGGTGCACGTCTGTGGTCCCAGCTACTGGGGAGGCTGAAGGAGGAGAATGGATTGAGCCAGTGAGATCAAGGCTGCAGTGAGCTATGATTGTGCCACCGCACTCCAGCCTGGGTAATAGAACAAGACCCTAACAGCCACACACACAACCACACACTCACCCACCTACTTTACAAACGATAGATATATTACTTATATAAAATTTAAAAACAATGGGAAAAGATGCCATAAGCAAAGTAAAAAGATAAATGACAGACTGGGAGAAGTTCTACCCATATAACACACATTTAGTTGATATCTTCTGTATTCAAAAAGTCCCTTCAAACTGAAAAGAAAATGATGACCCTGGAAAAATGGGCCAAAGATATAAATAGCTCATAGAGGAGAGACTTCAGATACCAATAAACAAAACATAGACTCAATCTCATTAGTAGGGGCTGGGAAATTAAAACATGATGAAGATACTCTTTCCATGCACAAAATTGGCAGAAATTGAAAAGATTTTTAATATTCACGGTTAGGAATGTGAACTGATAGTGATTTTGAAAGACAATCTGGCAGTTTAGTATGTGCCAAAATTTAATTTTAACTTTTGTTTGTTTGTTTGTTTGTTTTGTTTTTTTTGAGACGGAGTCTTGCTCTGCCGCCTACTGGATTGCAGTGGTGCAATCTCCGCTCATTGCAACCCCTGCATCCTGGATTCCAAGGATTCTTCCACCTCAGCTTCCCTAGTATCTGGGACTATAGACATGCGGCACCCTGCCCGGCTAATTTTTGTATTTTTGGTAGAGATAGGGTTTCACCATGTTGGCCAGGCTGGTCTTAAAGACATGATCTCAGGTGATCCACCCTGCCTCAGCCTCCCAGAGCGCTGGGATTACAGGCCTGAGCCACTGTGCCCAGCCGAAACTTTTAAATGTGTATCTTCTTTGATTCACTATTACCACATCTAAAAATTGAACCTGCAAAAAAGGTGCACGTATACAGGGTATATATTCAAGGTGTTTACCACTGCTAGCATTGTTGGAAGCAGTCTACCTGTTGGAAGCAATCTACATGTCCATTAAATACAAATGGTTAAACATACCGTACATCCATGTTCTAGAATATCATACAGTGTTAAAAGAATTAGGTAGTCTTATAAGTGCTAACATGGAAGTGTCTCTAGGAAATATTAAGTGAGGGCGGGGCAAAAAGCAAGTAATAGAAAATTGGAAATAGATGTATGTAAGTGCATAGAAAAACCTTTGAAAGAGTATACTCTGTCTGTTAATAGTGGTTACCTCTCAGGAGGGGAGAGAATCAGGGGTGGGGAATGAAGGAAAACTTTCACTTTCTACCCTCTAATTCTTTATCTTGTGAACTCTTTATGGTGAATGTTCATGTATTTAATAACAATATGTTTTTTTAATGGTTAAAAGGAAGATATGCTAATAGTGGCTGGCATTACAGGTCATTTTCGTTTTGTACCTTTCTGTATTTTGGAAAATGTATACAATTGTAAATTCAAGTTCTAAAAACTGTAAGAAGATTATTAAAAAGGTTTACATAAATTTGGAAAGATACTTGAGTCTATAATGTTGTAATGATAAATTTAACCTGTGAAAATAGATGTCATTCATTTTGCAATTGTAGGAATGCTAATGTGAATGTTAACAAAGATATAAGAAAGGGTGGAGGGGATGGGATAAGTAAGAGAACAATTTGAAATTAAATTTATTATTTCTCCTTTTAGTACTTTTTAAAACTAAGTGAGCTGTCTGCCATTCAATGTAATGAATACTTCTGTATTTCTTTTTTTCTCTCTCTCTCTTTTTAGGAGTGGTAAAATTTCAACCTTCCCTTTGGCCTTGGGACTCAGTGAGGAACAATTTGAGAAGTGCCCTGACAGAAATGTGTGTTCTCTATGACGTTCTCAGTATTGTTAGGGATAAAAAATTTATGACTCTTGATCCTGTCTCTCAGGATGCACTTCCTCCAAAACAGGTATTTGTGGACTTTAATTGAATAATAAAATTTTATTTATTAAATCCCAGGACCCTTTTTTGGCTTTGTGCATATTGTTCCATTTTCCTTTCTTGCAAAATTAAGTCCAGATGAAGATTTAAAGACTAACTGGTCTAAAACAAAACCATACAACTGCATTTCCTTTATTTTTGTGTTATATACCTATGATTCTTGGAAGAGTTAAAGTTCGTTAAGAATGTAATACTTTTAAGGCCAGGCGTGGTGACTCACGCCTGTAATCCCAGCACTTTGGGAGGCTGAGGTGGGCACATCACGAGGTCAGGAGATCGAGACCATCCTGGCTAAAACCATGAAACCCTGTCTCTACTAAAAATAACAAAATTTAGCCAGGCATGGTGGCGGGCACCTGTAGCCCCAGATACTCAGGAGGTGGAGGCAGGAGAATTGCTTGAACCCAGGAGGCAGAGGTTGCAGTGAGCCGAGATTGCGCCACTGCGCTCCAGCCTGGGTGACGGAGACTCCGTTTCAAAAAAAAAAAAAAAAGAAGTAATACTTTAAAGGTTACCAAATCTTAACAAATTCTTATGGCCTGGATCCTTGGTCTTTTTTTTTTTTTTTTTTTTTTTTTTTTTTTTTGAGACTGAGTCTCGCTGTGTCACCCAGGCTGGAGTGCAGTGGCGCGATTTCCGCTCACTGCAAGCTCCGCCTCCCGGGTTTACGCCATTCTCCTACCTCAGCCTCCGAGTAGCTGGGACTACAGGCGCCCGCCACCAGGCCCGGCTAGTTTTTTGTATTTTTAGTAGAGACGGGGTTTCACCATGTTAGCCAGGATAGTCTCGATCTCCTGACTTCGTGATCCACCCGCTTCGGCCTCCCAAAGTACTGGGATTACAGGCTTGAGCCACCACGCCCGGCCTGATCCTTGGTCTTTTTAAAACTAAGTGAGCTGTCTGCCATTCAATGTAATAAATACTTCTGTATTTCTTTTTTTCTCTCTCTCTCAAGGATATTGTAATATATCCTTGGTCTGTGATATATTACACAAAAATGTGATGATATAATGGCTTTGGAATCAGGTAGACCTGGATTCAAGTCCTGCCTCTGCCTTCATTAACTGTGTGACCTTAAATTAAGAAGTTATTTTCTCTAAGTCCGTGTTTTTCCATCTAATCCTTCCTTCCTTTTTTTTAGGGGATGGATTAGAAAGGTTAGGCCAAATTATGGAGCATATTGAGAGCTGGGTAGAATTGCTGATATTTCATAAACAATATATTCCATTTTTGAACGTTTGAAGATGAAAGAGAAGCAGCAGAAAGAGGAGTTGGTGAATAGTCTGAAATCATTGAGGCTGCTTGGGTCCTTAAGGAAAACAAGTGTCAGGACCATAACCAAATTAGTCATGGAGAGGAAGTAATGACTGTTAGAACCCATTTGTAAATACAATTAATTGAATAGAATTATTCACATAGTAATAGTTTCAGAATCTAGAAACATTGTGCTAAGGGACTAATAGAGTTCCCTAAATCGGCTTTCTTCATTTTACAGAGAGAAAACTAAAGCTTAAAGAGATTTGTAATATGTGCAAGTTGCTGTCAAGCCAGTAGTTAGAGAGCCAAGACTAGAACTCCAGCACCTAACTCATAGCCCCACTGCCTTTTCTACTATTCTGTGCTTTTCCCAGAAAGGAGACTCCAGGAATTTCTTAAGATCTCCAGGAACTCTTTTATTTACGTTCCTCAATATGATCAAAAGATTATTTTGATATTTTTATGAAGCTTTTTATGTGATTTTTGACTCTCATACAGCCAGAAAACTTTATTAAACTGGTTAGTAAAATACACAAATTATCGTAGTGGTGGGTATTTATGTATGTATATATGATATGTAGATTTTGATTTCTGATCAGTTTTCCAAAAAATTAGGATTCAGTGAAGTACATTTAATATTAACAATGGCAGGGCGCAGTGGCTAATGCCTGTAATTCCAACACTTTGGGGAGCCAAAACAGGAGGCCAGGAGTTTGAGACTATCCCAGGCAACATAGGGAGACCCTGTCTCTACCAAAACAAAAAACAAAACAAGCCAGGCTTGGTGTTACGCATCTGGAGTCCCAGCTTCTCAGGAAGCTGAAGCGGGAGGGTCGCTTGAGCCAGTAGGTCAAGGCTATGGTGAGCCAAGATGGGGCTACTACATTCTAGCCTGGGCGACGGTTAGACTCCATCTCAAAAGAAAAAAAGTTAATGCCTCGTGATTTTAGTCTTAATTCCAAAACTTTAATAGCTTATGGTAAGATACAAACTATGGTAAGCTACAAAATACAAGATAATTTTAAGTTATACCCATTGCAGTCATTCATTCATTCATTAAATCAAATATTATGTGCCAGGCATTGTTCTAGGGTTTGTGGATATAGCGGTTTCTGCCAATGCAGGTTACATTGAAGCAGAGATTATAGATGTTAATCAGAAGTATAATGAGTGCCAAAAAGGTTATATATAACTCTATATGTGTATATGCAGGATAGGGGGGTGGCAATATATAAGGAGAGGAATGGCAGTACATTAGGAGGGGACCTAACAGGCTGGACAAAGTTGATGCAATGTTAAATTCTCACTAGAGGCCATTGTAATGTTTTTGATTTAACATAAGTAAAGCTTTGGGTGAGTTGAACAAATAAATAGGTTAAGGTTATTTTATAAAAACCACCGTTATGTGTACTTGCCCCTCTTTTTTGCTCTTCTTTCACTTCATTTTATTATTGATGAAATATGTAATTTTAGAGGCATTTAAAAATCCTGCAGAACTGCATGTTTGTGTTGTTTTCGATAGAATCCTCAGACGTTGCAGTTGATATCTAAAAAGAAGTCACTTGCTGGAGCAGCACAAATCCTATTGAAGGGGGCAGAAAGACTGACTAAATCAGTTACCGAAAACCAAGAAAACAAGCTACAAAGAGACTTCAATTCTGAGCTTTTGCGATTACGGCAACACTGGAAACTTCGAAAAGTTGGAGATAAAATTCTTGGAGATCTGAGCTACAGAAGTGCAGGTATGAATATTATTAAAAACTATACTTTCTGGGCAGGCGCGGTGGCTCATGCCTATAATCCTAGCACTTTGGAAGGCCAAGGCGTCGGGATCACTTGAGGCCAGGAGTTCAAGACGAGCCCAGGCAATATGGCAAAACTCCGTCTCTACCAAAAATGCGAAAAATTAGCCAGGCGTGGTAACATGCACCTGTAATCCTAGCTACTTGGGAGGCTGAGGTACGAGAATTGCTTGAACCCAGGAGCTGGAGGTTGCAGTGAGCCAAGATCGCACCATTGCACTCCAGCCTGGGGGACAGAGCGAGACTCCATCTCAAAAACAAACAAACAAAAAACTATGCTTTGTGTGTAAGTATAATGTTAAACATCCTTCTATAATATTTTATTTCTCAGCTATGTGTTATGTTTCAAAATTTTAATTTATGTTCATTTAAGCCAAAACCACTCTTATTAGAGCCTTATAATAAACAGCCTAGTTTCTATTTCAAAACCCTGGAGGTACACGTAACAGAAAGTTCAAAGATGGGGTTTATGTGCTGGCACACCTTGAAGCATAATTGACTTTTTTGTTAGAAATGAGGTAGAACTACACTCCTCAATCGAGGCCTTACCTGTAACCCTTAAAAACTGAACATGGCCGGGTGCAGTGGCTCACACCTGTAATCCTAGCACTTTGGGAGGCTAAAGTGGGCAGATTGCTTGAGCTCAGGAATTCAATACCAGCCTGGGCAATATGGCAAAACTTCGTCTCTACAAAAAATACAAAAATTAGCTGGGCATGGTATTGCATGCTTGTTAGTCCCAGCTACTCAGGAGGCTGAGGCAGGATGATCCCTTGAGCCCAGGAGGTCAAGGCTGCAGTGGGCTGAGATTGCAGCACTGCATTCCAGCCTGACCGTGTCTCAAAAAACAAGCAAACAAAAAAACTGGACCTGATGCAAGTGTTCTTCTGAGAATTATACAAAAAAAAACTGGACATGAAAGGAGGAAAGAAACTTTCTATTCTTTACTGTTTCTTTTCCCATTAATCTGCTAAGCTGTTTTTATGTCCTGAGTGAAGAGAAAGGGTGGCAGAAACGTTTGCTTTCCTTTTTCCCATCAAACTAGGGCTACAACACTAACTTAGGGCATGCAACTTTTGGGGGCATACTAAAGTTTGATGATGTTGACTTCATATTTTTTGATATAAATTCTTAGTTGTTGAGCTATAACAAATAGTAGGTTTTACAGGGTAATAATGGCAATGTTTTATAAGCTGCTGAGGCAATCAGAGGGACTGGCTATATGGAAAAACTTCATAGCTCAATGGGGTAAAAGCTGTGAATATCAGGGGAGGAGGCAAGGAGTCTTGGCTTGGATAGTTGAGATAATGGTAGAGTGATACCTGAAAGATTCATTTACCAGAGTAAGCTACCATTATCCTAAAATTAAAAAAAGATAAGTTAAGGTGGTTAAGTCAAATACTGGAGGAATGACATGCTTCAACACTATTATTAATAGGGGTATTTTGAATCCTGAAGGTTAAATCTTATTATAAAGACGAATTAAAGATGACCAGACCATTTAAAAATTTTAATAGGTGGTCTGTAGAAGCAGTGCTTTCTCGTTTTGGATATTTTCTTTTCCACAAATAATTTGTGTATAGGAACCTTAATTCTTTCTTTGGGGTAGTCACTCATGATTATGAAAGGATTTGATCACATTGTTTTTAATTGCAAGAAAATCTTTAGCATCTTCCCTTGTTATAAAACCAGTTACATTGAACCATCTATTTCTTACATAATTCAGTGGCCCAGAGCAACTCACCCAAATTTCTGAACTACACAAAAACACATCACATAAGATCTAGGAACTGGGCTGGGCACAGTGGCTCACGCCCGTAATCTCAGCACTTGGGGAGGCCAAGGTGGGAGGATTGCTTGAGCCCAGGAGTTCAAGACCAGACTAGACAACATAGACCCTATATCTAAAAAAAATAAAAAAATAAAAATTAGCTGGGTGCGATGGGCATGTACCTGCAGTCCTAGTTACTTCGGAGGCTGAAGTGGTAGGATTGTTAAATCCTAGGAGTTTGAGGCTACAGTGAGCTGTCATTGTACCACCACACTGCAGCCTGGGAGACAGAGGGAGACCCTGTCTCTAAAAAGATAATAAAAAATAAAGTAAAAAATCTAGGAGACTGGTTGAAAAAAAGTTGCTATGTGCACTATCCTCTGTCTTTCTGTTTGTTGGATGCAGAGCACTTAGTTGAAACCTTAGTAGAGAGGCTAAGCTCCAGAAGTATTTCATCTCCAAGGTTTCAATCTGAGGGATTGTTTTCTAGGAGTACACCCTTTTTTTTTTTTTCTTTTTTTTTTTTTTTTTTTTTTTGAGAGAGAGTTTCGCTGTTGTTGCCCAGGCTGGAGTGCAATGGTGCGATCTCAGCTCACCGCAACCTCCGTCTCCTGGGTTCAAGCGATTCTCCTGCCTTAGCCTCCCGAGTAGCTGGGATCACAGGCATGCGCCACCATACCTGGCTAATTTTGTATTTTTAGTAGAGACGGGGGTTTCTCCATGTTGGTCATGGCTGGTCTTGAACTCCTGACCTCAGGTGATCCGCCCACCTCGGCCTCCCAAAGTGCTGGGATTACAGGCATGAGCCACTGCACTCGCCCTGTGAGTACACCCATTTTTATCAATACTCCATTAGAATAAAACAATTTGGATTTTCTGTGGAATTCTTATTATAATGATGTCATTAGACTAAGAAGTGTTATTTTTTTAAGGTAAATAACTTACCCCCCCAACACTGTTATCTTTCTTTCCTTTGCTCACCACTCCTCACCCTTTCCCCGAAAACATGTTTTTTAGTGGGAACTTTGTGATTCAGTGATGTGGATGTCAAGTATTATATAGTTAATAATGTGTGTCAGAATAATATGTTAACTGTTTTTTATTTTCCTATTTTTCATACAACATTAGGATCTCTCTTTCCTCATCACGGTACATTTGAAGTAATAAAGAATACAGATCTTGATCTGGATAAAAAGATACCTGAAGATTACTGTCCTCTTGATGTCCAAATTCCAAGTGATTTAGAGGGGTCTGCATATATCAAGGTATTTGTCAAAATATTTTTCAAGTAATTTCTTATGAATAGCCTGAAGTTAATTTGTTAACCCTTTTTGTTTTTGTTGTCATGTAGGTTTCAATACAAAAACAGGCTCCAGATATAGGCGACCTCGGCACCGTTAACCTCTTCAAACGACCTTTGCCCAAATCCAAACCAGGTATGGTTATGTTCTATCCTCTAATTTCTGGTCTTATTTGAGCTGACGTTTTAAAATAAACAGAAGATAAATATAGGTAGGAAAAATAGATATTTTGAAGTAAGAACAATTCAAAATATACTTCTAAAATTTGTCAATAAACCATTAGTGAATAGCTGTGCAGTTTTTTTTTTTTTTTTGAGACTGAGTTTCTCTCCTGTTGCCCAGGCTAGAAAGCAGTAGCACGATCTCGGCTCATTGCAACCTCCACCTCCCAGGTTCAAGCGATTCTCCTGTCTCAGCCTCCCAAGTAGTTGGAATTACAGGCATGCGCCACATGCCTGGCTAATTTTGTATTTTTAGTAGAGATGGGGTTTCTCCATGTTGGTCAGGCTGGTCTTGAACACCCAGCCTCAGGTGATCCACCCACCTCAGCCTCCCAAAGTGCTAGGATTAAGGGCGTGAGCCACCGGCAACTTTTTTTTAAAGATTGGACTTATTGACTGGTTTTCTCTGTTAAAGAAGTGAGATTTTTATAATTTGGAAAGAATATAGCTTTGCACAGTGGTAGTATCTCATCCAATGAGGTTTATCTGTGGCATGATTATTGCTAATTGATGCTTCCCTCTTCAGGAATTGAAACAACTTCTTCAGGAATGAAAGCTTGGGGTGGCAGGGAACTTCTCAATACCCTGCTGGGATGATTTGTAACAGTTGGCATTGGCAATTTTTGACAGTCTCTATAGAGACTGAATAGAAAAAAAAGAATATACTGTAATGTAGTGTTTTTCTAAACTTTTGTTGTCATATGTATTCAGATCACCATTTAAACTAGTTAATGTATAATATGGTTAGATAATTGATACATATATTTCTTGTCTTTCAGGTTCCCCACATTGGCAGACAAAATTAGAAGCGGCACAGAATGTTCTCTTATGTAAAGAAATTTTTGCACAGCTCTCTCGGGAAGCTGTTCAAATTAAATCACAAATCCCTCACATTGTGGTGAAAAACCAGATTATCTCTCAGCCCTTTCCGAGTAAGAGCAGCCCTTTTTCGACTTTATGAACAGGACTTTGTGTTTTGGGGAATAGGACAGAGAAGGTAGCTCTTAGGGTGTGTTGGGAGAATAAGGAGAGCAAAGAAATAGTGTGCTATCCATAGTGACAGCCAGTAAAGCATGTAACAGAAACTACACTGTGGAATCTGTTCTGTCCTAAATAGTGTGACCCTTGGATTTTTAAGCTACATATTTAAAATTTGCACTTATGTAGTCATTATTGTGGTCAAGAGAAAAGAAAATTTGCGCTAGCATAGCTACAGTTATTTAGCAGCAGTTGCTTTGAAGGGAGATTTTTCAGGGATCCTGCCTTATTGTCTAAATGAGAGGCCAATTTAAAAATGTTTACTCTTACGCCTGTCATCCCAGCACTATGTGAGGCCGTGGTGGGCATATCACCTGAGGTCAGGAGTTCGAAACCAGCCTGGCCAACATGGTGAAATCCCATCTCTACTAAAACAAAAAAAGGCCAGGCACGGTGGCTCAAGTCTGTAATCCCAGCACTTTGGGAGGCCGAGACGGGCGGATCACGAGGTCAGGAGATCGAGACCATCCTGGCTAACACGGTGAAACCCCATTTCTACTGAAAAATACAAAAAACTAGCCGGGCAAGGTGGCGGGCACCTGTAGTCCCAGCTACACAGGAGGCTGAGGCAGGAGAATGGCGTAAACCCGGGAGGCGGAGCTTGCAGTGAGCTGAGATCCGGCCACTGCGCCCCAGCCTGGGCGACAGAGCGAGACTCCGTCTCAAAAAAAAAAAAAAGAAAAAAAAAAAAAAAAAGAAAGAGTTTACTTATAATAGTCTCAAATTTGTAGAAACTGGATTTTCATTGTATTATTCAAAAGCAGGTAGACTTGCCCTGGGATCAGTTTGTATTTAGCTTTGCACTTGTTTTTTACGTGAATTCTAAGGACTGTCGTCTTTAGAAGGAAGTAGGTTTTAGCAGTGAGAAATTCCATCCTACTTCTCATGGGAGCAGGGAAGACTGTCTTTTACGCAGTAAGACTGACTACCAACTCTTATTTTAAAGGAAAAAACGAATTAATATATAGCTTTTTCACCAGTCTTTAGCCACAGTTCAAGGGCAGCAGCCATATTATATGTCAACAGAATTTGAATTGTTAAAATACATGGTAGTTTATTGTATTCATGAAGAGTTTTTGTTTTTTTTTTTTTAAGATAAAGTTTCCGTTTTATTGTTCAGGCTGGAGTGCAATGGTGTGATCTTGGCTCACTGCATCCTGTCCACCTCCTGATTCAAGCGATTCTCCTGCCGCAGCCTCCCAAGCTGCTGGGAGTATAGGCACACGCCACCACGCCCAGCTAATTTTTTTGTATTTTTAGTAGAGAGAGGATTTCACTATGTTGGCCATGATGGTCTTGATCCGCTGACCTTGTGACCCGCCCGCCTTGGCCTCCCAACATGCTGGGATTACAGGCGTGAGCCACCGCACCCAGCCGAATAGTAATCTTGATATATAGATGTTAATCATTAGGTCTGATCTTCAAGTTTAGAATATACCTTTTGAAAATGAGCTATGATTATACTTTATGAAGACAGTTAGTACCTTTCCATATTTCAGGTTATTTACATCTGTCCTCCTCCTTTTTATAAATAGACTTGCAGTTATCTATTTCTTTGTGCCATTCCTCAAATGATAAGAAATCCCAAAAATCTACTACTGAGAAGCAATGTCCGGAGGACCACCTTTATGTCCTAGAGCATAATTTGCATCTACTGATTAGAGAGGTAAGGAAATAAATGTTTTTCTTTGCACTGTGGTGAGCATGTCCAGGGCAGTGAGTATGCACAAAGCATCCCGCTCCTCTGCTGAGTCTTGATTATTCACATAGCACCAACATTCATTGTCTGGTATGAAAGATCCTTGCTGTTTCCTAGGGGAATAGAGATAATCAGAATACTGTCCCGGTTCCCAAGCATACCTTCTAGTGGTAGAGATATACAGGTTTTAAAGTAGAGGTGTAAGAAACATGGTGCTAAAGTGCAGAGGGAAGGGTGATTCTGACTGGGGGAGGTAAGGGAAAATGTCTTGCCAGAGTCTGTGAACAGACTAGTTTTATTTTGGGACATGTTCTACTTGTAGATCATCTGCAACTGTTCCAGGGAGCTGGTTCACAGGACAGGGTAATTTCAAAAGAATATCCTGTGAAATTTCATGGAAGTATATATTACAACCTCCCCTGCCCAACCCCAAAACCTGGTTCAGTTGATTGTGATGGTACAAGAGTTGTTTTTAAAAAGCTCCTCAGGAGGTTCAGATAGGCAGCCGGGTTTGAGAACCTCTAATCTAGGGTATAGTGAAAGAACTATTTACTGATTGTATATGTTCTATTTATGAGACTCAATGAAGAGGATTGTTTTATATTTTAAAACTTTTAAAATAAAAAAGCTTGAGATCCTTTTGTGGTTCAAAAGCATGATTGGGCTTTCATGCTCATGCGTGAGTTGTGACTCCCTCAAACCTTATTAGGATGTCGGCGCATTACCCATCTGACATGAGAAAAGGAAAAAAGTTACAGCTTGAGAGGGACCCTTCTCTCTACAGACTTGCATTAAGTGTGACTTAGTAGATGCTAGCATTTTTCTCCAAGGTTGGATTGTTTTCATATGTGGTTCAAATCCATTCCTTTCAGTGTTTCTAAGATGTCAGCCATGTTTTGATTAAATATTGTGTAGCATTTACTAATGTGGATATTGGTTATTTAAAATGACTGTTTTTGTTAGTTTCATAAACAGACCTTGAGTTCCATCATGATGCCTCATCCAGCAAGTGCACCTTTTGGCCACAAGAGAATGAGACTTTCAGGTCCTCAAGCTTTTGATAAAAATGAAATTAATTCATTACAGTCCAGTGAAGGGCTTCTGGAAAAAATAATTAAACAAGCAAAGCATATTTTTCTAAGGAGTAGGTAAGGTTGAACAAAGTTACTGTTTTCTGTTTTTTCTTTGAAATTGCAGTTTGTTTTCTATTATTTCATACACTTTTTTGGGATGCTTTAATTTTTTAATTTTAGGCAGAGGAAGTGGTAAGAGTTTATTTATGGTCATAGACTGGGTCCTGTCAAGTCTGGGGAAGACTTAGATCCATGTCTGATCTAACAGTATTCTTTCTAACACTGTCACTTGTTTGCAGAGACAACTGACTAGGAATGTGCCTTACAACACTATACTTTCTTCAGTAACCCAGCCATGAGATACTTATTTCTGAACTGATTTAAATGTTTTTCTTGAGTGTTTCTGTATGTTTTGTTTCTTGCACATTTTAGAGTTTGGAGAGCACTTTCCTTCGTGTTAACTTATTTAATCTTTGTTCTTTGGGGCAGGAAGTATTAACCCTGTTTTTACTGATAAGATTGAGGCTTAAAGAAGTTATGCACCTTTCTCAACGTTACACAGCTAAAAAGTTGCGGAACCAGGATTTATGCCCAGGTCTATGTAATGCCAAAGCTCTTTTTTTTCCTTTATATATACTGCTTACAAAATAACGTGGCATGATTACAAATAAATGTATCTTTTTCAGTGCTAAAGGGTGCTTTTCTATTTTATTATTGGTACTTAGTGAAAAGGCCTGTTTTTACTTCATTTGTAATTATGCCTTGGTAGTACTCCAGAATTTCAGGCATGGGCATTGTCATTAAATAGATGATATTTTATTTTTGATTTCCAGTCTTTTTCTTGTTAATACAGTTGTTTTTTAGTACATGAGTTTGTAGTCTTAAAGTGGAAATTTAGGTCCTTCAACTTTTAGTAAAAGGAATTAGGGAGACATGTTAGAGAAGACAGCATGATGCAGTGAAAGGAGTAGGGGACTAGGGATGAAAGGTGTGTAAGCCAAGGCTCAATCGTTTGCTAAATAACTTCGAGCAAGGGATTTAGTGTCTATGGTCCACCACTTAATCCCCTGTCAATAGGAGGTATAGGAGTGGGGTCTTAGGGTCATATTACGTGATGTATGTAGAAGTTTCTTGTAAGTAATAAAGTATTATATGGTAGGTTACTGTTTCTTACCATTAATACAGTTCAACTTAAAAAGCTGATAATTTGAGTAGTCTTCCAAATTTCTGATTGACCACAAATTTATATATTCCCCAAAATAAATGATCAGCATAAAAATAGCTGTTTTTAGAACCATTATAAATTTCAGAGTAGTAAGTGTAGCCTTCGAAGCAGCAAAGCTTTAAAAATGTTACTTCTTTCTGGTGTGCAAAAAGCTTAGTAAAGAAAAAAAGACCCTGGCTGGGCATGGTCACCCTTGTAGTCCCTATACTTTAGGAGGCCAAGATGGGAAGCTTGCTGGAGCCCAGGAGCCCAGGAGTTTGAGACCAGCCTGGGCAATGTAGTGAGACCTTGTCTCTACAAGAAACTTTTTTTTTTTTTTGAGACGAAGTCTCACTGTGTCACCCAGGCTGGAGTGCAGTGGCACAGCTCACTGCAAACTCTGCCTCTTGGGTTCAAGCAATCATCCCGCCTCAACCTCCCGAGTATTTGGGATTACAAGCATGCACCACCATGCCTGGCTAATTTTTGTGTTTTTAGTAGAAATGGGGTTTCACCATGTTGGCCAGGCTGGTCCCGAACTCCTGACCTCAAGTGATCTGCCCACCTCGGCCTCCCAACACGCTGGGATTACAGGCGTGAGCCACTGTGCCTGGCCAGGAAGTCTTTTAAAAAATAGCTGGGCTTGGTGTGGTGGCTCATGCCTGTAAACTCAGCATTCAGGGAGGCCAGGCAGATCCCTTGATTCCAGGAGTTTGAGACCAGCCTGGGCAACATGGCCCATCTCTACAAAAAATAAAAAAAATTAGCCAGCTGTGGTGGTATGCACTTGTAGTCCCAGCTACTTGGGAGGCTGAGGCTGGAGCATCGCTTGAGCCTGGGATGTTGAGGCTGCAGTGAGCTGTGATCACTCCAGTACGCTCCAGTTATGGTGACAGAGCGAAGCCATATGTTAAAAAAGGAAAAAAAGACTGATGTGTATGATACCATGCACTGTGAGATCTCTTGACATGCTAATATATTTTTATGTATATATGTCAGAGTGTATGTGTGTCTTTAAAAACGAAATCAGAGATTATAAAATTTTATATCCTTCTGAGTTCATACCTCAGAGGTGACACCAGAACAAATGAAAACTTTATACCTTGCATTCATTTAATATTGTATTATAAAGCTTTTCATCTTTTATTAAAGGTTTTTAAATGTATTTTAATAGCTGTATAATATCCTATTATATAAATACTTCATGATTTCCCAATTTTCCATTGCTAGATAATTTTATTTCCAGTTTAACGGTTCTTGTAATGCTCACACACATACATATCTTCTATAGGAATTATGAAGCACTGTCAGGGAAACATACCAAGGAAAAAGGAAAATAAATTTCAGAATGTATTGTAAGAAGCCAGTACTGTAGCAGCAGACCAAACCCTAAGTCTGTTAATGTAAAAGCCCCTTGTGCCTACTGGCTCTTCTCATTTCTTCCTGTTTTCTTTTAAAATTAAATTTTTTTTTTTTTTTAATTTTGAGGTGGGGCATGGCATGGTGGCTCATGCCTGTAATCCTAGCACTTTGGGAGGCCAAGGAAGGCAGATCACTTGAGGTCAGGAGTTCTACAGCAGCCTGACCAACATGGCAAAACCTCGTTTCTACTAAAAATAGAAAAATTAGCCAGGCGTGGTGACACACGCCTGTAGTCTAAGCTACACTCTGGAGGCTGAGACAGGAGAATCGCTTGAACCTGGGAGGTGGAGGTTGCAGTGAGCTAAGATTTTACCACTGCACTCCAGCCTGGGTGATAGAGTGAGACCGTCTCTTAAAAAAAAAAAAATTTTTCCAGCACTTTAGGAGGCCGAGACGGGCGGATCATGAGGTCAAGAGATCGAGACCATCCTGGCTAACATGGTGAAACCCCGTCTCTACTAAGAAAATACAAAAAACTAGCCGGGCGAGGTGGCTAGTAGTCCCAGGTAACTGTAGTCCCAGCTACTCGGGAGGCTGAGGCAGGAGAATGGCCTAAACCCGGGAGGCGGAGCTTGCAGTGAGCTGAGATCCGGCCACTGCGCTCCAGCCTGGGCGACAGAGCGAGACTCCGTCTCAAAAAAAAAAAAATTTGAGACAGCATCTTACTCTGGCCTAGACTGGAGTGCAGTGCAGTAGTGGGGTCAAAGCTCACTGTAACCTGGAACTGCTGGGCTCAAGTGATATCCTGCCTCAGTCTCCTAAGTAGCAGGGACTACTCATGCACACCACTGTGCCAGCTAATTTTCTTTTTATTTATAGAGACTGGTTGTCGATACTTTGCTTGGGTTTGTTTTGAACTCCTGGTATCAAGCGATCCTCCCTCCTTGTCCCCGCAAAGTGTTTTGATTACAGGTGTGAGCCACCTCCATTTTTCTTTTTCCAGTAAAATGTTAAAAATCAGATAATTAGAAACTGAGGGTTGGTTAATTTAAATGATTTATGCTTTGGTTCTAAGTGTTGGCTGTTGATTAGTGTGTATAAGATTATTGGCTTTGGAATTACATTCCCAGGTTTTTGGCTCTGGATTTAGACTCCCAGGTTTTGTATCCCAGTTTACATCTATGTGACCTTGGGCAAATTGCTTAACATTGCTAAAGCTTTTCCTCTTATAAGAATGGAAATAATAGTGCCTACCTAATAAGGTTAAGATTAAATGATATGTTAGTAAGATTAAATGATATAATTCATGAAAGCACTTACTATAATGCTTGCTATATAATGAATACTTGATGAATCTTACTTCTCGTTTGTATTGGTATTTTTCTTTTTTTTTGGAGTGTAAGGTTTTGATTGTGCAAAAAATCTCTAGCTTCTCTTGAATATGATTATAATTTCATTACAGTAATGGGTCTAAATGTGGGTATGTCCCAAGTCATTTCTACCAGGGATCAAATACTGACAGTTATGAATGATTTATATTAGGTTTATACCCTAGAATATCGAATATCCTTCTCATTCATTTCCTGATAAGCTTTTCTGAGTGGAAGAAAATGAATAATGGGAATAAATCTATCATGAATCGTGATAATCAGGGGTGTGTGATGAGAGTGTATTGTAGTGTGAAGCTGAGAACCTACACATTCAAGCAGTATGAAAGGGTTCTTAGAACTACCTCTGCCTTCGTTTAAAGTCTGCCTTACACATAGTGGTAGTTTTAAAAAGTAGTTTTAAAATTTTCATAACATTGATGAATCATTTATAGTCCTATCATTTTGTATGTTGACTTAAAAAGTTTTTTAACCTCTTGTGTTTAAAAGAGCTGCTGCAACCATTGACAGCTTAGCAAGCCGAATTGAGGATCCTCAGATACAAGCTCATTGGTCAAATATCAATGATGTTTATGAATCTAGTGTGAAAGTTTTAATCACATCACAAGGCTATGAGCAAATATGCAAGTAAGTGGCCAAAATAAAAGTTTTGTATTTAATATGTTAATGGATGTTGATGTTTGCTGAGTAATTGTATTAAGCATTTGGTTTTTATTTGCTAGGGTGGCATAACATTTCTGTAAATTATATAAACTGTAGAGCGTTTTTTTGTTTGTTTTGTTTTTTGTATTTTTATTAGAGACGGAGTTTCACTGTGTTAGCCAGGATGGTCTCGATTTCCTGACCTCGTGACCCACCCGCCTCGGCCTCCCAAAGAGAGTGTGTTTTTTTGTTTTGTTTTGTTTTGTTTTTTAGGTGGAGTCTCACTCTTTTACCCAGGTTGGAGTGCAGTGATGTTCATAACTGACTGCAGCCTCAAGCTCCTGGGTTCAAGGAATTCTGCCTCAACCTCCTGAGTAGCTGGGACTATAGGTGTGTGCCCCCATGCCCAGCCAATTAAAAAAATTTTTTTTTTTTTTTGAGAAACAGGTCTATGTTCCCCCTGCTGGTCTTGAACTCCTGGACTTCAGCAATCCTCCTGTCTTGGCCTCCCAAAGTGCTGGGATTACAGGCATGAGCCACCACTCCCGGCGACTGTTTTTTTGTTTTTGTTTTGTTTTTGATGGCAATTAGTTATTAGGAGAAAATTCATGAAGTCTGTTTTTAAACATTGTAAGAATGAGAGGTAAGAATGTCTAAAAACTAGTCTCTATTAGGTAAATGTCACATATTTGAGCTGGGGTAAACAATGAATCCCAGCACTGAGCAGAAGGCTGCCTTACCTCTTGAGACTCCAGGTCTGCTTCAGTTCTTGCCTAATGGCTATGGCAGGTCTAGTACATTTGAAGTTAATAAGGCCATTTGTATTCTAGCCTGTACTGCATGTTATGCCTAGAACAGCCTAAGTTTTATAGCTCTCATGACCTGGTGTTGATCCTGGGTCTAATCCAGTTCATGATTATGCCCTAAAAACTGGGTTGATAACTGTGTGTCTGTGAAGGAGGTGAGATGGTTTTTGTCCCCAGCCTTCATAGGAATGCAGTCTACTTGATTTATATTCACAAATCACGACTTAATACAATTGGCCAGTAGCCATTAAAGGACTTTTTAGGCTACCTTTTGAGCCTCTTTGAAATTTAACACCTGACATTTGTCAGGGTCTGTGACTACGTTTTATTTTTAAAGTGTTAGTTGGTTTAATTCCTTTTTGTCTCAGTTTATGTTTTTGAGATGGCGTCTCACAATGCTGTTGTCCAGGCTGATCTCAAACTCCTGGGCTCAAGCAGTCCTCCCGCCTCTGCGTCCTGTGTAGCTGGGACTACAGGTGTGCACTACCATACCCTTCTTAGTTGCTTTATTTCAGACAGACGTAACTAGCCGCAGTAAAACAAAACATACTGTGAAACACAGAATAATGACCCTTGGGAGTAGGGGCAGAAAATACTTTTATAATGCTATTTTTTTCTTTTTTTTTTGATATTTTCCTATGTACAGTCATTCCCAATATAATGCTATTTTTAATGTAGAGGTTTTAATTCACTTAAAAAATGAAAAAATAGTAGATAAGTGTGAGAGCAGATGTAGAGTATGAAAGAATACACAATGGGAAGGAAACTAGTCCTGAAACTTCCAGAGAAAGATGGTGGAGTAAAGTGGAGTCATAGAGTTTTCTTCCCCTGTCTAAAGAAATAATAAAATAATTGGGGTGATTTGAGGGTGGGGTGGGAGAAAGTAGGTGTTGAACATAGATGAAACAAGTTTGGATTGCATTTTTAGCTGTTAAGACTGGGTGATGGAATTATAGGCTTTCATTATATTATACTTCTGTTGGTGTTTATTATTTATTTGCTGATAAGCCTTTTGCCCTCCTAATGTTTGTGTTTAAAATTTTCCATAGTAAAAAGTTAAGAGAGACTGAGTGCAATGGGAAGGAAAAGAGAAAGTTATCATCATTGAATTGTTTATACTTAGAACTAAGACTAAAACTGTGGGATTATGATTGCAGGTCCCAATGTAAACGTGCTAAACTTCCATGAAGAAAAGTTAGTGATGATGTAGCCTTGACAGAATCAGGAGTGGAGGAGAAGTAGAAGGCAGTAGTAGAATGCCCTTTTCCTCATCTTCTATAGCTGGTGTATTAGGATTCTCTAGAGGGACAGAACTAATTGAAAATATACACACACACACACACACACACACGTGGGAGTTTATTTAGTATTAACTCACACGATCACAAGGTCCCACAATAGGCCATCTGCCGGCTGAGGAGCAAGGAGAGCCAGTCCAAGTTCCAAAACTAAGGAACTTGGAGTTGATGTTCAAGGGCAGCAAGCATCCAGCAGAGAGAAAGATGTAGGCTGGGAGGCTAGGCCAGTCTCTCTTTTCACATTTTTCTGCCTATTTATATTCTAGCCATGCTGGCAGCTGATTAGATTGTACCTACCGAGATTAAGGGTGGGTCTGCCTTTCCCAGCCCAGTGACTCAAATGTTAATCTCCTTTGGATGAGGATGTTAACATCCTCACAGACATACCTAGGACTAATACTTTGTATCCTTCAGTCCAATCAAGTTGACAGTATTAACCATCACAGCTGGGCTCAACTTAGGCTGTTGAAAGTTGAAAATAATTCTCAGAATTCCTTTGGATCAGTCATTTAAAACAGTTTCTTCCACATCTTTCTAGGAATGTCTATGTACTTACAAGCATATATATCCTACCTGTTCCTGTACCCTACCTCTCTTTAAAAAGAATTTTTTTTTACATATACATGTAGAAGACATGCAACCCTACCTCTCTTACACAGTTTTGTATGCTTTCTAAAATCGTATTACACATAACAAAATTCACCATTTTAAAGTGGACACAGTTCAGTGGTCTTTAGTGTATTCCCTGTGTTGTATAACCATCATCATCTAATTATTGGACATTTCCATCACCCCCGAAAAGAAACTCTATACGTAGTAGCAGTCATTTGCAATTTACGTGCTTTTTAAACTCAGTAGTATTTTCGTGAAATAGTTCAACTTACGCAGGTAGGTTTAATGATCAGAATATAATGGAATCAATTAGGAAAAACTGTATACAGGAAATGCTTTACAGAGTAGTAAATGTGGACTATTTTATGTGGACTGTTTTAACAAGGTTTAAAATATATGGATTATTCTGCATTATTCTGAGTTAAAATTATTCATGTTGCCATAAGGTCCAGAAATACAGACAGGTACACATAATAAACAATTTATTGCTCAGTAGTAGTATATGAGTCAGTAAACATTATTTTGTTAGCACATAGGTCTACCTCATTTTTTTCTTACAGCCTTTTTGTATTCCATTATATGTCCCAAACTTTTAATCAGTCTTCTGTTGCTGAACATTTTTGTTTGAGTATCAGCCAAATAATTTGTACATATACAGGTATATCCATTTATAGGGTAAAGTCCTATGAGTATAATTGCTGGGTTAAAACAGAAGGACATTTGGCTGGGCACGGTGGCTCACGCCTCTATCCCCCGCATTTTGGGAGGTTGAGGCGGACGGATCACTTGAGGCCAGGAGTTCGAGCCCAGCCTGGCCAACATGGTGAAACCCTGTCCCTCCTAAAAACAGAAAAATTAGCTGGGTACGGTGGTACACGCCTGTAGTTCCAGCAGCTTGGGAGGCTGAAGTGGGAGAATCATTTGAACCCAGGAGACAGAGGTTGCAGTGAGCTGAGATTGCGCCACTGCACTCCTGCCTGGGTGATAGAGATCCCGTCTCAAAGAAAAGATAAGGACATTTAAATTTTTAATTAGTACTACCAAATTGTTCTTCAATTGGTTGCTACAAGTATGCATTCACCAACAGTGAGTGATAAGAATCCCTGTTCCTTCACACCTTGTTTTAAGAAAATAATTGTAAAATGTTTGTTAGATGTATGATGTATATATCTTTAAGCCTTTTGAGTTTTGTTTTTCTTTGAGAAAACAGTGTAAACTTTAGTTCATCAAAATTACAACTTAAACCAGGCATAAGGTTGCACACACCTGAAGTCCCAGCCTCTCAGGAGGCTGAGGCGGGAGGGGATTACTCAACGTCAGGATTTCAAGGATGCAGTGCGCTATGATGGCACCATGGAAAAAACGACTGCACTCCAGCCTGGGCAACATAGCAAGACCTTGTCTATTTTTTTTTTTTTTTTTTTTTTGAGACGGAGTTTTGCTCTGTCATTGGATTGGAGTGTAGTGGTATGATCTTGGCTCACTGCAACCTCCATCTCCTGGGTTCAAGCAATTCTTCTGCCTCAGCCTCCTGAATAGCTGGGACCAAAGGTGTGTGCCACCACGCCCACCTAATTTTTGTATTTTTAGTAGAGGTGGGATTTCACCATGTTGGCCAGGATGGTCTCGATCTCTTGACCTTGTGATCACCTGCCTCGGCCTCCCGGAATGCTGGGATTACAGGCATGAGCCACTGCACCTGGCCTCTATTTTTTTTTTTTTTTTAAATTTCAACTTTATATAGACAATCACCAAAATGCTTTATTGTGAAATACTTACTTTAAAACAAAGTTAGAAACAAGCGCTATTTTCAAATGTGAGAGGATATAAAGCTGTTTTTTCCTGCATTTTGTTCATCTATGTTATTAGGGGATTTCAGGTTTCTTGGATGTATTACACGCTGAAATTTTAGAAGTTCTTTTGGAAGAGTGCAGTGATCTGCTTATTATTTACTGGCTATTGTATGAGTTTCTTTATTTGGCCTAAGCCAAATTAATGGAGTATATATATTCTGACTTGTTTGCCAGTTTTTTCAGTAGGAGAAGGTAAAGAGTTAACAAAACCGTTTCTCTTTCTGTATGAGAATTTGCTCTTTGTTAACACTGGCTCTAATCCCTTGGAAACCTGTTAAGGAAAGATGTCATCTGTATTACTAGGCAACATTGCTTATAGTAAAAATGATATCAAACTGGTAAAATGCATCTGAACCGGGAGAAATTTTAAATAACTGATGGGAATGCCTTTGGACTTCCCTGGATGGTGGTGACTTTTAAAACTGGGCTTAGCTTGTGGAAACCATGCCTATGGAGTAGTTACAAGACCTTATGGCTCCTGTTAGGGCAGGTCCCACATATACCCAATGTGGATCTCTTCTCCTTGCAGCAAAGGTGTTCTGCTGCTATATAGACAGTTGCATGGCCTGCTGGCAAGCCGTGGTCCCTTCACATCCTTCTGGGTAGACTGGTACTCGGTGTGGTCTATGGTATTCTGGGGTGAGTCTGTTTAGTTGAACCTAAGAAGACCCCTGCATCTCCTCTATGGATGTTGGTGTGGGTTATTAAAACGTTTTCTTGTTGGCCGGGTACGGGGGCTCAGGCCTGTAATCCCAGCACTTTGGGAGGCCAAGGCAGGTAGATCACTTCAGGTCAGGAGTTCGAGACCAGCCTGGCCAACATGGTGAAATACCGTCTCTGCTAAAAATAACAAAAATTAGCTGGGCGTGGTGGCAGGTGCCTGTCATCCCAGCTACTTGGGAGGCTGAGTCAGGATAATCTCTTGAACTCAGGAGAGGCAGGTTGCAGTGAGCTGAGATCGTGCCACTGCACTCCAGCCTGGGCAACAGACTGAGACTTTGTCTAAAAAAATAATAATAATAATTTTTAATTTGATATTGAGGTTTATTATTTATGATATTGTATAAGATAATTTTGAACATCTCTGATTTTTAGTATGTGTGTCTATAAAGGTCCATTCAACTGCAATTGAATATTGGAGTTGAGCAGATTCGAGTTGTACATAGAGATGGGAGAGTAATCACACTATCTTATCAGGAGCAGGAGCTACAGGATTTTCTTCTGTCTCAGGTAACAGTTGCAGGTTGTGTTTTAAGCCCTCCTTCTTCGCATAGCTACTTAAAGAACAAATTGGTTAAAAAGTAGTTAAAAATGTAATAAATTATGTAAGAAGAAAATTTTTTTCCAGTAGAAATTAAATTCTGTTTAATTTCTAATGCACATTTTACAACCTGTTGATTAATTGAAAGTACTGATAAGCTGTCCTAGGTTTTCACATAGTTGATCTTAAGATGAAGGACCAGTTCTGAGACTGGCAAGTTTTTTTCCCCTCATGTCATATTTGTGAAGGTTTACAAAATCTATAAGGTTTACAACATCTCCAGAGTTGTTGTAGAAACTGAAGAAAACTAGAGAAAGGGAGATCATATAAAAAATTATAATGACCATTATCCGTAATAAATAAAGTAGTTTAACCTCAAGTCCAAGGGGCAGTATAGAAAGTGATGGGTTTGAGGCTGGGTGTGGTGGTTTGTGCCTATAATCCCAGCACTTTAGGAGGCTGAAGTGAGAGGATCACTTCAGGTCAGGAGTTCAATACCAGCCTGGGCAGCATAGAAAGATCCCTGTCTCTACAAAAATAGAAAATTGGGTGGGTGTGTTGGTATGTAACTATAGTCATAGCTGTTAGGGAGGCTGAGGCAGGAGGGTTGCCTGAGCCCGGGTGTTCGAGGTTACAGTGAGCTATGATTGGTCTCACTGTGCTTCAGCCCAGAGTGACAGAGCGAGATACCATCTCTTTAAAAAAAAAAAGTGATGTGTTCTAGCCCCAGCATTACGACAAACTTGCTTTGTGACATCAGACAAATTTCTAGCTTTCTTTTCATATCTAACAGCATTTTTCCTAATGTCTTCATGGAGTTTTTAATGACCCAGTGAAATACTGAATTATAAGATAAAGGGTAGGTTTTTGAAATGTTAATGCAAGATACTATTTTTTTTTTCACATTAAAAAAAAACAGTTTCCACTTCAGAAGCAATGATCTTATATACTGATTTGCTTCTTTGCTGCCAAGTAAATAAAATTCATTTGTTAGGTGTGGCAGCTCTTGGCTAATTACATCCAAATTGGTTTGGTCACCTTAAGCACACACACAGAAATATATTAGAACACTATTGAGCAGGTCCCAGCATCAACGGGAGGTCTAGAGAACAAGGCTTACCAATGGATAGGGATCAACGCTCGATATGAGACCCATGGCCAGGGGAATGGCACTAATGCTGTCCCAGCACTGCTGCCTTCAGCACTGGTGACAGAATGCATTCTAAATTGCCTCCATTGTATCAGTCAGAGTCTTAACAAGAACTAGGTGGCAGACTCAGGAGGATAATTTTAGGAGGGCCTAGTTACTAAAAATCTATTTACAAAGGTATGGGTGTAGGAGAGCCACCAGGGATAGTGTGGTAACCTGCTGCTAGTCGTAGTAACCAGGTAACCAGGCCCCAGGGGTTTAGTGGTCACCATTGCTAGGCCAAAGTTAAGAGGAAGGACAGATTACAGGAACCCTAACGGGGAGAGTCATGTAGAACAGTCCATCTTGAGAAGCCTAGCAGCCAGTCAAGAGATACAACCAGCCTAGACAACCTCACAGGGAGGATGCCAGGGGAATAAATACCCTGACCTCACTCTTCCTTGCCGTCCTTCTGGCTCCCTTTGGATGGCTCCCATTACTTGAACCCAGCCCAAAGCCAGAGGACGTAAGAAAGTATTAATGTAACCACGTGTGTCAGCCTCCCAGGGCAGAAAATAAGGTAGACAGTGGATTTGAAGGGGTAAATGTTGCACTCTATTCAGTGATCTAGACAGGAGCCTTCAGTTGGCCAAATTTATGTCGCATGTCTGTGCTTAAGCTGCCAGTGGGCAGGAGAAGCAAGTATCAGGCAACTTTTGCTTTTGCAGTGGAAGGTGGAGTCTTATTCCCTCCCCTTATGTTACACACAGGAGGATTCCTCAGACCTAAGATAGGGTTGCAGTGCTAGTCAGTCAGCACCCCAACAAAAGTTTACTTTGTGGTCGTGATGTTAGGTCACTGCACATATCTCTGCTGGTTGTCAGTTAAGTGTCCTTTTTCGTTCACAGATGTCACAGCACCAGGTACATGCGGTTCAGCAACTCGCCAAGGTTATGGGCTGGCAAGTACTGAGCTTCAGTAATCATGTGGGACTTGGGCCCATAGAGAGCATTGGTAATGCATCTGCCATCACGGTGGCCTCCCCGAGTGGGGACTATGCTATTTCAGGTACTTTCTGCTGCTTTGAATGAGAAGGGACCACTGGGAGTTTGGCTTTAACGTTTAGTTTTAATAATTAAATATTGGTAAGAGTAATTCATCTCTGCAATAAATTAGTTAATGTTGTATTTACACTTAATGTTTATTTGATCATAGCTATTATTCAGAGCAAGAGATTATTATTTCTCTTTCTAGTAATTATAACAAATGTTTAGATTGGCAGCACATTTTCCTGAGATAGTCTGAAAAGTGTCATCAACATTGTTACTCCTGCAGTCCCAAAGTTTAATGGATAAAAACTTTAAAAAAATATACTGCTGTAAACACGGGAAGAAAAATATCTGTTCCTACAAATAGTAAAGGGATGGAAGAGAGAAGAGTATCTAATAGTATCTAATGCAAGATACTATTTTTTTCACATAAAAAAATAGTAACAGCTTTTAAAATTTTTTAAATAAAAACATTTTAAATAATGTATTTTGTTTTGTTTTGTTTTATTTTATTTATTTTTGAGACGGAGTCTTGCTCGGTCGCTCAGGCTAGAGTGCAGTGGCGTGATCTCGGCTCACCCCAACCTCTGCCTCCCAGTTTCAAGCGATTCTCCTGCTTCAGCCTCCCGAGTAGCTGGGACTGCAGGTGCCCATCATCACACCTGACTAATTTTTGTATTTTTAGTAGAGGCAGCGTTTTGCCATGTTGGCCAGGCTGGTCTCGAACTCCTAACCTCAGATGATCCGCCCACCTCGGCCTCCCAAAGTGCTGGGATTACAGGCATGAGCCACCGCACCTGGCCGAGGAGAAGTATTTTATTAAGCACCTTCTACGCGTAGGCACCGTAATAGGCACTTGCATGAGTATTACATAGCTTAAATTTACATTTGAAGCACTTACGATTTTAGGGTGATCTTCATTTCTAATATCTGCTCTGACTACTTTAAAAATATAGTCGTGTTGCATAGCGACAGGGACAGGTTCTGAGAAATGTCTTGTTAGAGGATTTCATTGTGTGATAATAGAATGCACTTACACAGCCCTCGATGGTACAGCCTACTACATACACATCTAGGCTTCATGGCATAGCCTGTTGCTCCTAGTCTACAAACCTGTATAGCATGTTACTGTACTGAATACTCTAGACAGTTGTAACACAACAAAAGCAGTTGACTGAAATGTTACGCAGCTCATGACTATATTTGAAAGAGTGGGTAGTTAGAAATATTTCCCCACAGGATCACAGCTTGTGAGTCTGCAAGCTTGGTCATTGCTGGATCTTGATTGCTAGGAATTTAAAAATACCCTTTTCTTCTTTCCCAAGTAATAGTTAAAACCTCATTAAAACCTGAAATTCTTAATTCAGAATAATCTTTCCTTCATCCCTTTCGGTCCTGATTTTAAGTGGTTGAGGTTTCATTACATATTAGGCATGTATTAACAATTCATTGAATGATTACATTATCAAAGGAATGTATTGAAAAAAATAGGTGAATGTCCTACATGTGGTGGCTCATGCCTCTAATCCCAGCACTTTGGGAGGCTGAGGTGGGAGGATTGCTTGAGCCCAGGAGTTTGAGACCAGCCCTGGCAACATAGTGAGACCTTGTTTTTAACCGCCTCCCAAAAAAAGCTTTGTATGTTTTTCAGTGCTGCATGTGGAAATAAACAAAAAGATGATTTCCTGAAATTATAGAGGACATTTGACATTCCTAGGTCAAAACTCATCTTGCTTAATCTTTGTGGTACAAATAATAAGTCCTGAATATTTATACTATCCTCTTATATAGAAGTTAGAATTTTTTTTTCTTGCATGTTGAAACTGAAAAAGCACTTTTTAACAAGAATGTTTAAGTTGGCAGACAAAGTTTTTGTATTCACAGTAGAATGAAGTTGTGGGATTTATCCTTGTTATTTCTAGTTTGGTAAACTAGAGTGTATTGATATTTTGGTTTTTCTCCACAGTTCGTAATGGACCTGAAAGTGGCAGCAAGATTATGGTTCAGTTTCCTCGTAACCAATGTAAAGACCTTCCAAAAAGTGATGTTTTACAAGATAACAAATGGAGTCATCTTCGTGGGCCATTCAAAGAAGTTCAGTGGAATAAAATGGAAGGTCGAAACTTTGTTTATAAAATGGAGCTGCTTATGTCTGCACTTAGCCCTTGTCTACTATGATTTTTTCCAGATGTTTCCTAAAGAAGTTTCCAGAAACTTTGACATGAAATGTTTGCAGATCAACTATAAGTACAAAGAAGAGATAACTTGCAAAGGAGTGCTGTTTTTAAAAACAATAATTAGGAAATGTTTATTTAGCACTTTGAAACTTTCGCTTTATAAATGACAAGTGCTTTGAAATGCAGAAGTTTATGTACAGTTGTATATACAGTATGACAAGTTGTAAAATAATATGTTTTTCATGCAGTTTAAAATATTACTAACTTAAGCGTTTCTATTTGCTTTTTAATATTCCTCTTTGATGTGGACATCACATAAAGTGTGTGGTTTAAAAAATCTCCAAATACTTTTTCTTCCCCCAAATACTTCCTAAACTGTTTTTTTTTTTAGATGGATTTCACTCTGTAGCCCAGTCTGGAGTGCAGTGGTGTGATCATGGCTCACTGCAGTCTTGACCTCCCGGGCTTAGGTGATCCTCCTGTCTCAGCCTTCCGAGTAGCTGGGACCACACACATGCACCACCATGCCTGGCTAATTTTTGTATTTTTTGTAGAGACAGGGTTTTTCCATGTTGCCCAGGCTGGTTTCCAACTCGGCTCAAGTGATCCACCTGCCTCTGCCTCCCAAAGTGCTAGGATTACAGGTGTGAGCCACCATGCCCAGCCTACTCTCTAAACTCTCTACTCTCTAACCTCCCGTTGTCTGCTTTAAGCTTGCCTGGGTCTAACCTACATAGGTAATTTAAGAACATCCTCAGAAAGGACAGCTGAAGGCATAGGAGGCAGATTATCTCTTTAGGGCATCAAGATTTTTTGGTCTGTTCTCCCGCTTGAATGACTTCATCACTTGAGACACCTAGTGCATGGCTCATGCCCAATCTTCCACCTGGGATTCTCCAGCCTCCACCCAGCAGCCCTGGATTGCTTTCGCCAATTAAGGCCTTTCCATTAGCTCTCTGCTTTTTCAAAGGAAAAAAACTAATGCATTAGTGGATTATCTTTTCCAAGGAACAGGTTTGCACTTCTTGGAAATAGTGCCTAAAGTGTGCCCATTAATGTGAGATAGATTTAGGCTTATAAACCTTTTGGTACCACTGAAAGTAATATCATATAGGTGAGGTCTCCATATAAGTAAGTCTTTCAATTTTTAAAACATACATCCTGCTTTAACAATTTGTAAGATGACTGTGCAGTAATACAATTCCTTTGTATTTCTCCACCGTGTTTTCATTAAAGAAAAATGGAGCTTGTGGGCCATGATAGAACAACTTTGTGCTTTTTTCCCCTTCTGATCAAGATCTTGCATCTTTCTATCCATGGAAATTAAAATAATTGGTATGAATTTGCGGTTATTTAAAAATCTTGAGTGCTTCAAAAGTTATTGTTGCCCACAAAATTTGCTTTGGCCAGTAGGCTAATCTGTACAATTCCGTTCACATGAGGAGTCTTTTATGTGATTTCGAAGGCTCACACTAGTAGAGTGAGTCTGAGACTTTTGCTGAATGACCAGTTTTTGTTTATGTAAACTTCTACCATTGTAGATTGATACTTTGGTAAACTAATAAAAATGAATTCCTAAAATGAAATTTTGAAATGATACAAAATAAAAGCCCCATTTATTTGATTATAACCTAATTAAATTGCATCAAATATTAAAATTTAAAGACAGAGTCTCACTCTGTCACCTAGGCTGGAGTGCAGCGGCACTGTCTTGGCTCACTGCAACCTCTGCCTCCTCAGTTCAAGTGATTCTCATGCCTCAGCCTCCCAAGTAACTGGGATTACAGGTGTGTGCCACCATGCCCGTCTAATTTTTGTATTTTTGATAGAGACAGGGTTTTGCCATGTTGCCCAGGCTGGTCTTGAACTCCTGGCCTCAAGTGATCCGCCCTTGACCTCCCAAAGTGCTGGGATTACAGGCATGAGCCACAGCGCCCAGGCCCCGCAAATATAAACATTTCTGAATGCTTTATTTTTTATTTCTCTGCTTGTCATGAATCAGTAACAATTTATGGACCAGGACCACACTTTGAGTAGAATGGCTGAGAATACATGTGCAGATACTACCATCTGTTCTTTTAAACCCCATCTGAGTAGACTGGGATAACTGAAGACTTTACGGTCTTCATATCTTACTTTCCCTGTTTGGTCACATCGCTGTAGTGAATAGCCAGTACCCACCTAAAGAACTGTAGAAACTAAAGCAAATGTGTGGGAAAATGGTAGCTTAGTTGCTGTGGTAGCAATTCTTCTGCCTTATGTTTATTTACATTTTCTAGTTTAATGTTTTAACCTGAATTTCCTGGAGTTTGAAGGATGTGCTGTGGAAACTTGGGAGACAGTTTGAAGAAAACCAGTTAGCCCCTAAACAAGTATTGATAGGTTGGCAAGGAGCTGTGTTTGAATCTTGGCTCTACTACTGGCTTGCTGTATGAACTTGGCGACGTTTCTCTGTGAATCTGTTTCCTTATATATAAATGAAGATAGAGATGCCTCCTCTACTAACCTCAGTGGTGGTTGAGAAGTTTCAATAAGGTTGGTAATAAATGTTAAATTCTAAAGTGCTACGTAAATATAAAGCATTAAGCAAGTGTGCTTCTAAGAGTCAAGCCAATTAGAAAAAATGGTTGAGATACCAGCTGTATTTATTAGGAGAAAGCATTTCAGAATGTCATGTATTCACATTTGCGTGATGTTTTATATATGGTGAAGATATTGAGTGCTTTTCATCAGATTTCTTTGCTGGAATACCATCAAATCAGAGGGATAACCTGATTATCTCATGTTGATCTGGAATTGTAATTGGCCCTTAAATGCTGGGATTACAGGTATGAGACACCACGCCTGGCCTCCTTAGATACTGCTGATGAATAAAAACAGGGGCAACTAAATTATTTAGTAAGTCCACTTTGTTTAGTTGGAAAAAAATCCATTCAGAACATGAGGCACCCGAGGGAAAAATATTTTTACGGACAGAACTACCTGGACAAGCACGAGCCTGTAATATCAAAGGAATTTAACCTAGGTGTGTGTGTGTGAGATGGAGCAGGAACCCCTTCTTAAAGGCCTGTGGGCGCCCTGAGCATGAAAATTAAGGAAAATCTTGAATTCCTTCGAGGGAATTTCCGGGGTAGTCCTGAGATACAAACAAGCAACTTGATAAGCAAGAAGATAATAGTAACTTAAAACAATTGCCAAGGAAGTTAAGAGTCCAGATGCTTGGTTCCCTATAGAAACTAAAGATAACATCTTAAAATATGACCCTGAGTTGTTTTCAGAATCTCAGATCCCCACCAAGTGGATTTGCTGTCATGTGGGCCTCAGATAAGCAAGGACAACTTGCACTGCTGTTCTTTGTTCTGAATTTCTTCCTGAGGGGCCTGGAGGAGGTCAAGCCTGTGAGCTGGAGCTAACATTCTTTTCTTTGACCCAAATTTTAGACAAAGCTGCTTAGCCAATTGCAAATCAGAAAATCTTTGAATCCACCTATGACCTGTTGGGCCCTGCTTCGAGATATCCCACCTTTTAGATCAAACGAATGTACAGCCTCCTCCATGTATTGATTTATGACTTTGCCTGTAACCTCTGCCTCTCCACCTTTGTGGGTTTTTGGGGGGTTTCTTGTTTTTGTTTTTTGAGACAGGGTCTTGCTCTGTTACCCAAGCTAGAGTGCAGTAGTGCAATCAGCTGCTCATTGCATCCTCAACCTCCTGGGTTCAAGTAATCCTCCTGCCTCAGCCTCTCAAGTAGCTGGGACTACAGGTATGCACCAACACATCTGTCTAATTTTAAAAAATATTTTGTAGAGTCAGGGTCTCACTATGTTGGCCAGGCTGGTCTCAAACCAGCTCAAGGGATACTCTCACCTTGGCCTCCCAAAGTGCTAGGATTACAGGTGTGAACCATTGTACCTGGCCTTGCCTCCCCACCTTTAAAACCCTTACCTGTAAGCCATTGAGGAGTTGGAGTTCTTGCTCGGTGCCCTACAATAAATACCTCATTTCTCTTGCTGCAGTCCCAACGTCAGTGCTTGGCTTTGCTGTGCCAGGTGAGCAGACCCCAGTTTGGTTTGATAATGTTACTTTATAAAACCAAATCTAACACTAAAACTTTAGATTTATTTTACATTATCAATACCCTCTCTCCCACCAATACTCAATCTCCAAAAAATCTTCTACCAATTCTCGGTAAAACCCACCGAAATCGTGGAACATTGAATTCCCTAAAAGACCAAGAGATTCACAGGACATAGAATTGAATGCATTACTTAACAGGCAGAAGCCATCTTGGTTGAAGGAACTGGCCTGATACAATAGTAAGTTTGCCTAAGATGATTTTTGTTTATATCATTTGAAATAAAAAGTGATTTTTCAGTGAACAAACAATTACAGTGTGTTCAAAAATACCCAGCCGGGCACGGTGGCTCATGCCTGTAATCCCCACCCTTTGGGAGGCTGAGGCAGGCTGATTACCTGAGGTCAGGAGTTCGAGACCAGCCTGACCAACATAGTGAAACCCTGTCTTTACTAAAATACAAAAATTAGCCAGGCATGGTGGTGCACGCCTGTAATCCTAGCTACTTGGGAGGCTGAGGCAGGAGAATTGCTTGAACCTGGGAGGCGGAGGTTGCAGTGAGCTAAGATGGCACCACTGCACTCCAACCTCAGTGACAAGAGCAAAGCTCTGTAAAAAAAACCAATTAATAGTGTATTCATACTATGGACTGCATTGTGTAGGCAAGAAGAATGAAGTTTTGGAATAGGTAGACATGAAATAATGCCCAAGACACATTAAGGAAAGACTGGTGAGTTGTAGGGTAATATATATGATAGAATCCCATTTGACTATAAAGAAAATAGGTTAAATATGTATATTTGGCATATATATACACAGATATGTTCATATATGCATAAGCAAGTCTAGAAGGATACACACCAAGTTTGACTGTTGTTTCCTCTGGATTGAGGGAAGGAGAGAGATCTTTTACTTTATTTAGTTTTTGTTAATTAACTCTAGCCAAAGATACTTTAATATACATAGACTTTAGTGGCATTTGAATTTTAAAGAAGGATTTATCACCTCTGTAAGCCAAACCAAAAATACCCACTTAATTTTTAAAGGGCAGTGGAAATGTTCTCAAGAATTGGAAAAGCTGACAGCCAGGTTGGGTGGATTCAGAGAGATGCAAACACTGGCAACTCACACCATTAATGGGAATTGAGTTGGGGATAGATGTGCTAACAGTGATCACAAGGATTTGCTCTGCTTTTAGTAAGCTATGGATGTGTCTGATGCTTCCCTGGAAACTGGGCAGAAGAAACTTATGCTGGATATGTAAAAACTGATGCCGGTGAGACAGTTTCCCACTTCCCCCAGTATCCTCTCCAGTGTTGTCAAGGAGGCAGCATGTGAATCATGTCCCTGGGGATTCACCCTATCATATTTGGCTCCTTTGTCCTGGTTACCTCTCCAGCATTCTATTCTGCCATCTCTTCTCTTTTTTTTTTTTTTTTTTTTTTTTTTTTTTTTTTTTTTTTTTTTTGAGACGGAGTCTCACGCTGTTGCCCAGGCTGGAGTGCAGTGGCGCGATCTCGGCTCACTGCAAGCTCCGCCTCCCGGGTTCCCGCCATTCTCCTGCCTCAGCCTCCTGAGTAGCTGGGACTACAGGCGCCCGCCACCGCGCCCGGCTAATTTTTTGTATTTTTAGTAGAGACGGGGTTTCACTGTGGTCTCGATCTCCTGACCTTGTGATCCGCCCGCCTCGGCCTCCCAAAGTGCTGGGATTACAGGCTTGAGCCACCGCGCCCGGCCCTGCCATCTCTTCTCAATCCCTTGTTACACTTACCCAACTCTTCGGAATTATAGGGTTTGTCTCTGCATTCTTGCCTGGGGCAAGATACCCTGATAACCTTCTCTCTCACTGCTTTTGCTTCTCACCTTTGTGAGGTATTGCTTCAAATCAGAGTAAGCACAAAGTGCTCTCAGGTATTTACCATCTTCCGTGGCCTTCAGAGGACATGAGCTCTCCTTGCATACCCGCAACACCATGAAATGAGAAAGTACAATATATACCTTTTGGGGTTCTAAGATCATAACCTCTGAAAGGACAGTCTGTTGATAAAGCATGTGTGTTCTGTAGGGTGTCTTACCCACTGCTGAACAAGTGGTACAATTGTCACTTCCTACTTTTGGCCCATTCCAGAAGCAGGAAGAACGCTATTGAATTGCAGTTAATATTCTGAAAGCATAAATTTCAAATTGGTCTTGTAGCTACAATTGGGGGAGAATGGTGGTGCTGATAAGGTGTAGTTTTTCTGAATTGCTAAATAATGTTTACTGTTAGAACCAGTGTAATTAGTTGCATTGTCACTTAAAATATGTGCCAGACCTGGCTGTGATTAAGGGTTTTGTTTATGCTCAGCTTAACAGGACACAGCACCCAGAGCCTCTGATTTTTCGGCAGGAGCAGGCACACACACAAAGGATGAGGACTTTATTTTCAGGTTTTATTTCATTCATTCTTTAAAACACTTTTTTTTTCACAGTTTGAAACATAATTTATAGCTTAACATTTACACTAGCTAATCTCTGTGATTTTTATTTATTTAAAAAATAAACAAGAACCTCAGGCTTTGGATTTTAAAACTTTCCACAGGAATGTTCAGGATGGCAGAGCTTTAAAAATTCAAAAGAAACCCTTTCTTCAAAGAAATGGAAAGCCAAGGAAAGAAGCTTTTTTTAAAAAAAAAATTGTAACTTCCCACACTACTGATGTGAATAAACTCTCATGAGATTTTGGCAATTTAATTGACATCTGCCGTGGAGGCCTCTCAGTGGTGTTCTTTTCCAACTCCCCTTTGATTATGAAGATTGCCAGCCCTGACTTCGGACAAGTGGAAGAGCAGAGTTCTCAAAGGCAGGTAGTGTGGAAGAGGACATGCTGCCCCCAGCAGCCACCCAGCTCCTACTGCTTTCCTGCTGGTGGCCTCTCTGTGTGAAAGATGAGAAAGAAATCAGCAGATTATCCTTGAGCCCCTTGGATACTCCTCACCTCGTTTCTTCATAGCACTGGAAACTGTCCTGGCCCAGGGCCTGGTTCCTTTGACTGCTGCACGGGGAAAGGGCACAGTGTGTGAGTTTACACGTGTGTCTACAGGAGGCGCCTTGAGGGTATCTTCTACCTGTCAGGTGCTAGAGCTACACATCTGTTGTGTAGACCAACTGCTCTCGCCTTTTGAATCAAGCAGTGCTATGGGAGTCCTGCTCTGGATACTGACAGTTCCTGTCTGAATATTCTGAGAGATCCCTTCCCACAAATCTGGATTCAATATTGAGGGAAAGGGTTGTAACTTATCCAAGCAAATCCTTCTCTGCCACATAGGACATAGAGAAGATATGGACATTGGAGACCTGAAAGGAGGGAGAAGAGAAAGGAATGTTCTAGCACTTCTTAACCTTTGCATGGGTGACTTTGTAGCTGAGCACTAGGAACACATCATCATGGGGTGGTACTTTTGGTCTGTAGCTATGAATATTGGAGAGAGAAGAGAATGGAAGATAAATCCATGCCTCCATTTAGAGCTTGTCAAATGGAAGTTGGGATGGAGAAATAGGTGGACATGGTGACCAACAACCTGAGGGAATAATGGCCACAGCCAGCTGTGGTCCAGTCCTCAATCTCACCTGGAGCCCCAAGACCTTAGGTGATTTTATCAATTTCTAATACTCAGAATAGCATTTTCCAGTATAGCTTTCCAGATCCTTGAAGAAGCCTCATGCTTTTCATAAGTTGCTCAGAGAACTCTGTGCGTACTGTGGGCTTCTCTTGATACCCTGACTGTGAGGTAGGCAAAGGCCAAGCGTTCCTCAGGTAGGAGAGGGCAAGGGCCTGACTTGAGACGTGAAGCGTTAGTGACTGAGGGGGACAGATCCAAAGCCCGAGATGACTGATTTTCCAGCTGCATCACCCACTGTGCAAGCTCAGCTTTCACACAGGTGGCATCCAGTGCTTCAGGAGGCCAGGTGCTGCCCATAGCAGAGATGAGCTGTTGTTTTACTTCCAATGGCCTAAATTTGAGCCATGGGAGGGAAAATCCAATTAATGTTGGAATGAGGGAGGAAGAGAAAGATAATTTTCTCTCTATTCCTTGTATGCAAAGCTGGCCTCTCAGGAGTCCACTGAGCTCCTCCCCCATAAAACTCCCAGCCACCGGGCCTCACCTCTGAGCAGCTCACTGCAGCACAACAGCACCAACCCCCACCCCCAGTCTCTTCACCTCTGCTCTGAGGCAGCAGATTGTCTGAAAGCCTCAGGTTTTCTCACCATAGCTCCCACAATCATGCTTGCTTGTGGGATACCAGATGGGGGACTGGTAGGCACAGCAGTTGCAGAGCAGATAGGAGCACAGAAAGCATGTTCTAATGCTGGCTGCACACCCATCTGGAAATCCTCTGGCCTCTGATACAGGGACTCTGACAACAGGCCATCCTGCACGCCAGAGTGAGTGTCGTGAACAAGCAGCCAACGCGTGCACTTGCCCATTGGTTATGGGTCAGCATGGCTGTGACGCTGCAGCCAAGCAAAGCTCCTGGTTCAAGGCCTCAATCACTCTTCTCCTTGAACTTGGCGTGAGTCCTAAAACTAGCTTTGTTCATCCACAGTCCTCAACTCCATGCAGTCAATGTTGTTAATCTCCTGCTGTCCTGTCAGGAGCGGGCTGCAACAGGACCACACACAATGGGTATAATAGCTGTGCTTGCTCTTTTTGTTGGAGAATAGTTTCCTCTTGAGGTAGGAATGCAGTTAGGCCCAGCCTTGGCTAACACTCAACATCTTCCAGCTCAATCTCCTCAGTTGTGCTTTCTGTAAAGCAAAGACAAGTCAATGAGTTGGAAATCAAGCCACATAGCGCTTTCTTGGTGAGAACAAGGTAACACATGCCACCTCTGGCCTCAAAACCACTCATGGATTATCACAAGGCCCAGGGAGTTACCTTTGAGTTTGTGTCTTCTCTTCCTCTGAAATTTATATGCACACTTATTACAAACCCACATGAGGCTGATTAACACTGCGGCCACAGCAGCGAGAAAAGCAAGGAGGACAGCGACAAAGTGCAGGTCTTCATAGAGGATCTCTATGGAGTGAGGGTGAGGGAAGGGGGAATACAACATTTCTTTTAATATTGTGAAATCGACCTCCCACACACTCACCGTTCAGAGGGGTGCCCGGGGCCTGGGGATGTCTTACCAGAGACGTGCAGCACGATGGTGCCAAACTGGCTGCTCCCCAGGCGTTCCGTCACGGTGATGACATAGTAGCCGGAATCCCTCACTCCCACACTGAAGAGCTGGATGGAGCCATTGTCGAAGGTGCAGACTCTGTCCTTGTGGCTTTGGGAGATGTTGGCCTGAGTCCCTGGTTTCCACTCCACGATCTTCTGCGTTCCCCAGTTGGACGAATATGTCCATTCGATGGTGGGCACTCCGTGACAGGAGTACTCAACTGAGAGCAGGATGTCTTCTTTGACGGTGGCATTGATGGTGGCCTGAGGAATGTACAGGGACACGCCCTGACCTGCAGGATGATATGCTGGATGTTGGGCACATATATATGGCTTTATATTGAAGTGAACTTACATAATTCGTTAATCTATTTCACAAATATTTATTGTGTGCCTATTATATACCAGGAACTGTTCTAGGTTTTGGTGCTTAAGTGATAATGCTAAACAAGACACAAGGCTCCCTGGAGATAGAGAGCTCTACACACAGAGCAACCTTTTTCTATTTTGAAGAAACTCTGTTTAGAATGCTCCCTTTTATTTCAACCAGGAATCTGACACCTTTGTAGCAAGGTGGACTACAGAGGTTCTCTCCTAGTATATGGGAGCCCTTCTGATGCCCAAGGACTGTTCTCATGACTCTCTGGATCACTCCCTCTCACTCAAGCCCTCAATGTGTGACATAGTTATTCTTTAACACAGAACAAAGTGCAGAGTTTAAGACGACTGGAATAAAGAAGAAAACAGAGGTCAAATTCCAGGCCAGACCTCAGAGGGCAGGAATCGTTTCTTTATCCCTATGGTCCCTGAAACCAGTACAATGCCTGACACATGGTGGTTGGTCAATAAATGTTTGCTGAGTAAATGAATAAGTGAATGACCAAATATTTACAGCAACAAGAAACATGAGCCTTTTCCTAATAGGAATGTCGACGCTTAGGTGTTTTGAAAAATTAAGTACATCTAAAAGCTAACATAGGGAAGAGAACTATATTTAAGACTTTCTGTGCCAGTTACTATGTTATCTACTTTACAATCCTTATCTATTTTATTGTATTTATTTTTTGAGATGGGGTCTTGGTCTTTCGCCTGGGCAGGAGTACAATGGCTTGATCTCAGCTCACTGCAACCTCCACCTCCTGGGTTCAAGCGATTCTCCTGCCTCAGCCTCTCAAGTAGCTGGGACTACAGGCGCCTGCCATCACACCTGGCTAATTTTTTGTATTTTTAGTAGAGATGGGGTTTCACTATGTTGGCCAGGCTGGTCTCAAACTCCTGACCTCATGATCTGCCTGCCTCAGCCTCCCAAAGTTTTGGGATTACAGGCGTGAGCCACTGCACCCAGCCATCTCTTTTATTTTTTACATAGGCACACCAACATGCCCACATAACCAGTAAATGGAAGAGGAGGGATTTCAGCACAGTTTTGATTCCAATCCTGGATCTCTACTTTGTTTTTTGTTTTGTTTTGTTTTTGAGACAGTCTTGCTCTGTTGCCCAGGCTGGGGTGCAGAGTCACGATCTCAGCTCACTCAACTTCCACCTACTGGGTTCAAGTGATTCTTTTTTTTTTTTTTTTTTTTTGAGACAGAGTCTCGCTCTGTCGCCCAGGCTGGAGTGCAGTGGCCGGATCTCAGCTCACTGTAAGCTCTGCCTCCCGGGTTCACGCCATTCTCCTGCCTCAGCCTCTGAGTAGCTGGGACTACAGGCGCCCGCCACCTCACCGGGCTAATTTTTTGTATTTTTAGTAGAGATGGGGTTTCACCGTGTTAGCGAGGATGGTGTCGATCTCCTGACCTCATGATCCGCCCGCCTTGGCCTCCCAAAGTGCTGGGATTACAGGCATGAGCCACCGCACCCGGCCAAGTGATTCTTATGTCTCAGCTACCTGAGTAGCTGGGATTACAGGCGTGTGCCACCACGCCAGGCCAAATTTTTTTTGCATTAATATTTTTAGTAGAAATGGGGTTTTGTCATGTTGGCCAGACTGGCCTCAAGTGATCTGCCTTCTCGGCCTCCCAAAATGTTGGGATTACAGGCGTGAGCCACCATGCCCAGCCCATCTCTCTACTTTGTGACTATCTATCTATCAATCATGTATCTATGTTTCCTGATTTCTCTGACCTCAAATATGAGCAGTTGCAGTAGTGATTACTGCTGTAAGATTTAGAGAACTATATTTAGAACTAGTGAAAAATCTATATTATAACCTCTGTGCATTTCGTGTACATTCTGTTAACCACGTTGGTCAAGGTTACTAACAGGTTGATATCCTGGGAGACTACCAGCCCTTTTCACACCCTCATGGAACTTCACTTTGAGCATTTCGGTTACTTTGGCCCAGGAAACTGCAAAACTAAAAAATAAAATAACAACTCCAATTTTCTGAGATGCTGATACAACTGGAAACTGGCTGATTGGTTCTTGCTGGTTTTTATATTTTCTCTGGACCAGAGAAACCTCTTGCCTTTTTTTTTTTTTTTTTTTTTTGGTAGCGATGAGGTCTTTCTGTGTTGCTAGGCACTGGTCTTGGACTTCTGGCCTCAACCTCCCAGTGTTGGGATTACAAGTGTGAGCCACTGTGTCCAGCCTAGAAAAGCTTCTTTAAAATTTTTTTCAAATTTAATTGACAAATAAAGATTGTATACATTCAAGGTATACAGCCTGATGATTTATCTCTGTTGTGTAATGATGATCACAATTAAATTAATGAATATATCCATCACCACTCATGCTGAACATTCAGTCCCCAGAATTTGTTCATCTTATAACTCAAAGTTTGGACCTTTTGATCTACATCTCCCTCTTCCCCACTGGCCCCAGCCTCTGGCAACAATTCTACTGTATTTCTATGAGTTCAATTTTTTTAGATTCCACATATAAGTGAGATCATACAGTATTTGTCTTCCTATGTCTGGCTTATTTCATTTAGCAACTTAGCGTAATGGCTTTCAGGTTCATCCATGTTGTCACAAATGGCATGATTTTCTTCTTCATATGGCTGAATAATATTCATATATATCTTTATTTATGTATTCATCTGTCGATGGACACTTAGGTAGTTTCCATGTCTTGGCTATTGTGAATATGGTGCAGTGAACAAGAGCATGCAGATATCTCTTTGTTACACTGATTTCAGTTGTTTTTAATATATAGCCAGTAGGATTGGTGGATTGTATGGCACTTTTCTTTTCTTTTTTGAGACAGGCTCTCACTCTGTTGCCCAGGCTGGAATGTAGTGGCGCAATCTTGGCTCACTGCAACCTCCACCTCCCAGGTTCAAGCGATTCTCCTGCCTCAGCCTCCCGAGTAGCTGGGATTACAGGTGCCCGCCACTTTGCCCAGCCAATTTTTGTCTTTTTAGTAGAGATGGGGTTTCACCATGTTGGTCAGGCTGACCTCGAACTCCTGGCATGAGGTGATCCACCCGCCTTGGTCTCCCAAAGTGCTGGGATTACAGGCATGAGCCACCATGCCTGGCTGGTACCTCTATTTTTAATTTTTTTGAGGAATCTCCATACTTTTTTTCATAATAGCTATATCAATTTACATTCCCACTGACATTGTGAAAGGGCTCCCTTTCTCCATATCTTGACCAACATTTGTCATCTTGTCTTTTTGACAATAGCCAGCCTAAGAGGAGTGAGGTGATATCTCATTGTGGTTTTGATTTGCACTTCCCTGATCAGTTCAGCACCGATTTATGTACCTGTTGGCTATTTGTATTGTTTTCTTTGGAGAAATGACTATTGAGGTCCTTGTGCCCATTTTAAAATCATTTGTTTCTTTTTTGTTGTTGTTTGGTTTATGCTATTGAGTTGTATGAGTTCCATTTACATTTTGGATATTAACCCCTTTCCAGGTTTGCAATTATTTTTCTGAATTCTGTAGATTTCCTTTCCATTTTGTTGATTGTTTCCTTTGCTGTACAGAAGGTTTTTAGTTTGATGTTGTCCCACTTACTCATTTTTGGTTTTGTTGCTTGTGTTTTGGGTATCATCCAAAAAGTTATTGCCAAGACCAATGTCAAGAAGTTTTTCCCTATTTTCCCTTCTAGGAGTTTTATGGTTTCACGTCTGACGCTTAAGTGTTTAATCCATTTCAAGTTAATTTTTGTGAATGATGTAAGATAAGGGTTCAATTTCAGTCTTTTACATGTGAATATTCAGTTTTGCCAACACCCTTTATGAGGAGAGTCCTTTCTTCATTGTGCATTCTTGGCACTTTAGTCAAATATTAGTTGACCATATATAAATGCCTTTGTTTCTGGGCTATTTTGTTTCATTGATCTGTGTGCCTGTTTTTATGCCAGTGCCATACCATTTCAGTTTACTATAGCTTTGCAATTTGCTTTGAAATCAGGAGGCATGATGCCTTCCGCTTTGTTCTTCTTTCTCAAGATTGCTTTGGCTATTCAGGATCTTTTGTGCTTCTATATGAATTTGATTTTTTTTTGTTGTTTTTTTTTTTGAGACAGGGTCTCCCTCTGCCACCTAGGCTGGAGTGCAGTGGTACAATCATGGCTCCCTGTAGCCTCGACCTCCCTGGGGTTAAGATGATCCTCCCACCTCAGCCTCCCAAGTAGCTGGTAATATAGGTGTGCACCACCACATCCAGGTAACTTTTGTATTTTTTGTAGACACAGGTTTTCACCATGTTGTGCAGGCTGGTCTCAAATTCCTGGGCTTAAGCGATCCACCTGCTTCAGCCTCCCAAAGTGCTAGGATTACAGGCGTGAGCCACTGCGTCTGGCCTGCTTTTTTGATTTCTGTGAAGAATGCCATTGAAATTTTGATACGGATTGCATTGACTCTGCAGATCGCGTTGGGTAATATGGACATTTTAACAATATTAATTCTTCCCATCCATGAACATAGGGTATCTTTCAATTTATTTGTGTCTTCAGTTTCCTTCGTCACTGTCTTATAGTCTTCAGCATATAGACTTCTCGCCTTCTTTGTTAAATTTATTCCTAAATATTTTATTGTTTTTGATTTTATTGTAAATGGGACAGCTTTTTTTTTTCTTTTCTTTTCTTTCTTTTTTTTTTTTTTTGTTGTTGTTGTTGTTGAGATACGGTCTCACTTTGTCACCCAGGCTGGAGTACAGTGGTGCAATCTTGGCTCACTGCAGCCTTGACCACCCGGTCAAGGTCCAAAATAAATGAAATAGAGACTAGAAAAATAATGGAAAAGATGTACAAAACTAAGAGTTGATTAAAAAAAAAAAAAAAAAAGAAAAAGAAATAAGGGCCAGGCTCAGTGACTTATGTCTGTAATCCCAGTGCTTCAAG